ATTAATTCACAGATTCATCAATGAATGTATCTGTATGTAATTTTTTTCTTGTTTCTTGGAAAAAACTGTGTATACGCACAACAGCGACGCTATTCCGGTGCGTTTCGCTGAATAGGCGCTCAGGTTTGCAATTAGCGTCGCATTCAGCGGCGTTTTGCAACTCTTTCTGTTTGCAGCACAACGACGACTGATTTTCAATGGATTCAATTAACTTGTAGCGATTTGCCCTCCGCCATCAACGCAGTCGGCAGTAACAAAAGACGTCTCGCAATCGGCGCGGTAAATAAAAAAAACTCGAGCCTTTGATTGATTTTCTTTGTGTCTGAGAACTAATTTTATATATCCATGATACCGCCAAACTCTTTTTTTATACTTTTCAGCTTTTTTTTTCAAATTAGACCGATTCCATCTTCTGGTAAAGGAAGTGCCTTTTTATTGCCCTCGGGTGCGGCGGTGGATAAATTTTGAATCGCCAATCAAATCGAGAGCATTCTCGCTCGGGGCCGCTGAAATTTAAGAAGATAAAGTGCGCGCCATAAAACGTGCCCTCCCTCAAAGGAATCGATCGATTGAGAGGCTCAGCAATTTTTAAGTGCAACGGCGTAAATTATTATTCGCTTCCATTTCCTCTCGGAGCAGAAGGAAATTTTATCCCTGGCCACGTGAAATATCGAGTCAACTTCCCTGCGAGAGGTGCTCCGGCGGCGGCGGCGCCATTTTTCCTCGAGGGACGAGGAGATTTTCTTTTTCTCGTCGCGTGTCGAAATGTGTACGAGCGCAGGCGAGAGATCGAGTTGATCTGGATCGCTGGTGCTTCATTTCCTGGCACAGGAGATTGATACGACGCGACGACGTCGACGAGCCCCTCACTTTGCCACCCCGAACACCCTTAAGATCCGATGAAATATTAAATGGCAAATGATTTATCAGCCGAGAAGGCCCCCCCACTTACCCAAAAAACTTATATTTAGTTTAACTAACATGCACGTAGGACTAATAAAGAAATAATACAAAAAACCAATCAGTCAACCGATGCGGGGTCATTTTGATCTCGGAAGTTTTATAAAAATTCTACCTAGTGGTGGTTTAGTTTTTTCCAACAATTCCTTTTTTACTTAAATACATTGTTTTGAAAAATTGAATGCAAGCATGCAATGTGATTTGTACACCAAAAACGGTGACTGAATCGCGCCAACCGGTTAAAAAAAGGACAAAAGTCAAAATTGATTATTTTTTGAACATGCATTTCACTTTTATTCATCAAAAGAAGAAACAAATTTTTGAGAATAAACTAATTTTAGGACGAAAAACATGAGCCGAAGAACAGTCAAAACTAAGAAAATAAAAGTTTTTGCTTCAGAGAGCCTAAGAATAAACTAATGAAACAATACAATAAAGGTATTAAAATAATTAAAAATCAATTAATTTAAATATACTAGAGAGCAAAATAATTATATTTAACTGCAAACAAATAAATATTTTTAAAATTGTTAAGATTTAAAAAAAAACTTATGAAAGAAAAACAAGCAGATTCCAACACTGATTGATGGAGTATTTTGGATTTTCACGCTTTTCCCTGCTGAATAATGAACAACCACGCGTAGAAGTTGGCTCGCTAAAGCTGAATTTCTCTTTATTGAAAACGCGCATAATCCGCACGTGCGTGTGTGAGAGAGTGGCGGAAAGGGCCAATATTTGCCTCTTCCGCAGCCAGTTTAAGAGTTTCTCGCTGAGCAAACGCAAGGTATATTCAAAATGTACTGCAGGAACGCTCGGCGGCGGCGGCGGGTAATAATTCTGCTCTCGCAGCTCGTAAATAATGCGCGCCGGGCGGATATTAAACACCTCTCTTGCCGTCGCTCCGACTGACTGCGTTTGATTATGAGAGCGCGTGTTTACTTTTAGAGCGAAGCTTCTGCGCCATTTCCGATGAATCGAGCATAGATATATCGGAGGCTCGCCTCAAGATACAGAAAGCAAACTGATCCTCCTACAAGATCGGCATGAATATTCATCGCGGCTAAAGTGGTTTATTGTGTTTCCATCCACCGCGACACACAATTCAATTCACCTCTCGCTCCTCCTCCTCCTCCTCCGCCGCCGCCGCCGGCGCGCACACGAAATATGAGAAGAGGCTCCTGGGGATTGCTGCCGGTATGCAACCGGCGTGCTTGAGAGTCGTCCCGGTTGCATAAGTCATGGATGCCATCCGTGGGGCATTACACTGTCAATTTTCACATTTCTGAACCACTTTGGAATGAATGCAACGACAAAGTGTACCGGAAATGTTATTCAAACGACGATAAGGATGAAATTTAATCTTTTATTAGTGAAAGATTAAATATAAAATTAAATATTAAAATGTCAGGACAAAAGCAAACATAGTTAAAATTTATTAATTTCTGTTGATTTAAAAATTACAGAAGGACAATATAGCTCTACAAAAAAAATGGTGAAATATCAATTTAGTTTTCAGCTTCTTTGTCATCAGCGCGTAGACCAATAAATAAGGATATGCTAACAAAAATGATATGTTTTTAATTATTATCGTTGTTTATTATGTTACATCAAATTGTTATCATTACATTATTGAAAAGAAAGGAATTTTTGGACAAAACGGCACCACTTTTCCTAAGACTTCCGAGATCAAAAAGACCCCATCCACCGCGGTGATCCTCGGTTTAATCTAAAAAAATAAAACAAAATAAAACTTTTATGCCTTTTGCACCGCTATTAAAGGCCGACAAGACTTTGTCTTGGCCTAACCCTAAAAAATAATAATGATTAAAAAAATAAGTGTCCTCGGAGAACTGAATTCAATGAGTTCAATTTTCAATATCCTTCTAATTAGAAGGGTCAATTTTTTTCTTAGTTGAGGAGGGAAAAATGAAAAATTTACGGACAAACTGATATTTTCATTTTGCCAATTGTGATCAAAATTGATACTTGAATCAAATTCGAGATCTTCAGACTAATGTTTTGAGGGTTTCACAGTGTTCACTTGTGCGTGGGCGGTCGATTTGCGTCGCGAAGAGCCGCGGTATGGGTTCGGCGGAGCGCGAGAGTCTCGCGGCGGCGAACGAGTGCGCCTCGCTGATTTAATCGAGTGACTTCAAAGGGCGGCAAAAGATCTGGCGGCGCCCGCCGTTAATAGGTGCCTTTTATTGCCGTCGTGTTCGGCACAAATTTTAATGAAGCGTGCGCTGAAATGCGAAAGCCCGTTCGCCCCGAAAGCTGCCGCCGAAGCAAAAATTGGATTCGCCTAATAAAAAGGCTCCGCGCAGCCAAAGGAAGAAAGAAAGGGCAAATCAAATTTATTCGCCGGCGCCGAGCGAGCGAGAGACTTTGTTTGGCTTATTCGCAGAGAGAAAGGGAGTGATACACCAAGAGTGTAATCTCATTGCTGCCTTCCTTTGCGCTTCAAACAAACCTTCCTTTTCATTTCTGCTGCAGAATTGGATGGTACTTTCCGACGATGAGAAATGCCCGAGCGCTGACAAGCGGCCAATCGATAAACAATAACGCGCAATCACAAGTCTGATTGCGTTCGCCGCTCCTATTGGTGCGCCCAGATGATGTCCATCCGTCAGACAAACGCGTCCGTCGACCAAATATGAAATAATCTTACTCACTTTTATTTATTTCGATTTCCTTTTCTTTCCAGATCTGATTGCTTGGATTCCTTCAAAAGGATCGAAAAATCTGAAGTAAAAACACACGAACGCTTCAAAAGTGAGCATTACAATTATATTGATTTCAATTTTCAGACCTGCAATTAAACCCTTTTTAAACGATTATTCTGTTCAGCTTAATAATTCCAAATCAATAAGAAATAAATTTTTGCATTTTCTTGAAAGTTTTAAGTTACAAAACTAAAATCCCTAAAAACTGAACATTATAATCTTGTGGTTGGAGAGGAATAAAAATGAGCATTTCCAAGTTAATCTGTGGGGCATTAGGAGGATTTTGAAAATGGAATAACCTTACTTTGATTTTTACATAATTATGTTCAAAAAAGTCCCTATGGGTGTCTACTCACAAATTTTCAGCCCCCTAAAATTTTGAGAGGTCAAAAATGGGCAATAAGCAATAATTATTTTGAAGTTGTCATAACTTTAGAATGGATAAAGCTATAATGACCATCTCAGCTACAATTCTTGGCCAAACTTATTATTTAAGCAATATATAAAAAATATATGTTTTTTAAATACAAGTCTGACTGAGGGAAGTGGAAAATATTTTGAGGAAATAATTCAGCAACATCCGCAAAAAAATATTAATCAAACGTTTTCTATGTTTAAAAAGTTACTTTCAATTTTTAAAATTTTTTCACCAGTTATTATTTTTTAAGTCTTAAGTACTACTGCAAAAAGAAAGAGCAAGTCTTAAGCTACAACTTCTTCATCAAGTTTTTCTTTCTAAAAAAAATCACCCTAAATCAAATCCTTTTATATCTCTGAGGTGTCCGCGTGAATTGAGAATCGCATAGAACGTCATTTTTAGTTTTATTTGAAGCAACTCTTAATCTTCCATTTTATTTTTTTATTTTTTATGCAATATTATATATTATTTTTAATTTTGACCTGAAGTGATCCATCCAGGTCGGGGGTCAACCAAATCTCAATTCGCAATCAACAATAAAAATTTGCACAAAATTTGGCCGGGAGAGTGGTACTTATCGGACAAAAAGAAATAGCGCAAATTCGACACGGAACGAAACGAGCTTCAGGATTCTGAATCTAAAAGAAACGAGCTTTCCAACTGTGTGAATTTTATTGCGTGTCAATATAGCAATTTAGATTTCTGGGTGAAATTCTCGATTTAAAATAGTGTAAAAAGAAAAACAACAATTCTGAAGCGTATCTCTAAACTTTTAAATAGAACGCAAACGTTGGGAGCAGTGAGCGGCACAACTGCAGAAAGCTCGTTTTACGAGGATGCCGAAAATGCCCAGGTTTTTGCGGTTTGGTGACGCCTGACCTGAGAAAAACGTCGGAAAACACGGCAGGTCGTATTTTAATACCCAATCGCAAATGTGCTTTGTTTATAATTAACCTGAAAATCCCATTGTTGGTGAATAAGGTCTATTTGAATGCGTTTAAACCCAACAATTGAAATCAACATTGTCGAATTTCAAAACGCTTAATTTCGATTGTTGCTCACTATACTTAAATGCCATTGTTTAAAGAATTCATATCAGATTCAAGTCAGAGGCCGAAGGAGTAAGAACGTTTCTAGTGATCGCGATAATGTTCTCCTTCGACGCCGAGCGGCAGCGAAATTTGGAGAGATTGCAGAGACTGAAAGAGCACAAACGCAAGTACAGTGTCTCCAGCTACAAGAACAACCTGAAGGAAGCGCAGCAGCTGCGAAAAACCACCAAGGACGCTGAAACACCGACGCGGGCGGTCAAGAAGCAGAGCAATAAGGCCAGGGACGGACCCAAGGTTCAAGGACGAGATGAAAAGAAGAAGCAGAAGGTAGTAAGCAATGGATAAAAATTTTAATCAAGATATGAAGTTACAAATTTCAATGCGGGGTCCTTTTACGTGACAATTTTATTCAAAATTCGTGTAGGCGGTCCAGAATTTAAACAATTATGACCATCTGGACGTGCAAGTAGGCCATATATTTTAAAACGTTTTTAAAGGTCTATATATTTTTTAGTGTTCTAAACACAAGTAAAACGTATATAAAATATAAATCAAAACTACAATCAAAAATTTTCTGTCTCAACAAAAATATACTTGTTTTACAGTTTATATTTTTTTTAATACTCAAATGAATTAAAAAAATATTTTTTTGTTAAATTTTTTAAGTAAATTTATTACGTATTAAACAGGAGACCACAGATCATGAAGTTACAGTTGCCATTCCAATCAAGAGGGATGACGTCTCTGTCGCCTTGGATCACACTACCTTTGCCTTTACAACACAGGAACTCTTGGAGATAATTAAAACCCCGCTGCCCATGAGATCCAAGATGATTGCCAAAGAGGTACTCTTGCTTACAATTTATAAAATTTTAAGTTTCTGCGATCAGAAAAAATAAATAAAATTTGATTATTAATAAATTTGAGCTACTCATAAATAGTTACATGATATTATATTTATCATTTTTGTTTCTTTTTTTTAATTTTTGCAAATTTACATTTTTTACTTTTAGGAGTCGACCAAGATTGCTGCTGCTAAAGAGGAGACACTGCCAGTATGTCACTCGGAAAATAACTTGGAAAATGCCCTCAAGTTCGTGTCCAACTCAAAGGAACAACCCCCTTCGAATCCTGTGGCCGCAAAAGTTCCACTGCCCTTGGCCCACGCGAAAGTCACCCAAGAGCCAGAAGAGGATGAGGTCGCTCCGAAAGTGGAGGCCAGAGCTGAGACGAAAACCAAACTGGACCTGCTGAAGGAGGGCATCACCCTCGTTGGCTCTGTGATGAAGAACTGGGCGATGGCGGCGCTGCTCGTCGGAACCGGCGTCCTCATTGCTTTTGTTGATCAGGAGCATGTGGACAACCTGTTGTACTCCCTGTCCACGATCGAGATCGTCGAGCACTTCTGAATACGCGAGCACATGAAGTATTTAAATTTAATACTGCCACTTAGCACTTCTCAAATTTTCCAGGTCGAATTTTGATTCTTTTCGCAAATTCAAATTTTCCAAAAACATTTCCTGGCATAATGAAAGTTTTCTTAATAGTTGAATTAATAGCACTGTTTTAGGAGAACAAAAAAAAATAAGAAAATGCCTTATTAGAATATCCGAATAGCAATATTTTGAGAGTCATAAGTAAAAAAAAATTTGTAATCGACCCTTGTGAACACGATTCTGAGGTCGGTTTTTTTTTAAAAAATTTCTTGTCTCCTAGTTTTACTCTAATTATTGCTCAAAATTTGAAAATTTTTGGAGGGTTAGTTAAGTTGTTACACCATCTAAAAATTTATTTTACCATACTTGCTATTTTCTGGAATATTTCCCAATTCCATAAGGGGTCCGCGTTTTGATGATTATTAGCTATTCAGAAATTTGATAGCATATTTTTTATGGCTGCTTTTACGACTGGAAAGTGAGGTCAAAACAATTACGTTAAGAGAGTATTCAACCCGAAACAAAATTTTGAAATAATCCAAATGCAGCTTGGTTCTTGGACCTCTAAAATTTCAAATCTTTTTCGCCGGCTTCCAGCTGTTTTTCGCAATAGACAAATTTCCAAACCCCTTTTGTAAAATTCCAAACTCTTTGGATAAAGGCATTTTATGTATCATTCAATTTGGCACGTCAAGGAGAAGCTAGACTAAATTTTTAACAAATCTGAATCGTTTTTAAAATTTCCATAGCTTAATTTGGAAATGAAAATAATTTACAATTCGAGATCTTTCCCTCCAAAAATTTCAACTTTTTATCTCCGCCTCTTGATGTCTTAACGCGAGGCCACATGAGTCCAAGTGGCCCCAGACTTGACTGAATGTTCTCTGTGTACTCGCGTTTGACAAGGGACACATTATTTTTTTTTTTGCGCATTTTGATAATAATTGCAAATTAACCATTTGCTTAATTCAATAACATTGTTCTTACGGCAGTCCTATCTTGAAATTATTGTATCTATTCAATACTAGAAATAAAAGGAAACATACTGGCGTAGGAAAAATCAAAATTGGTTCAGCGTGGCGCTGCATTCAGGCGATCACAGATTTGTAAAGTAGGCAACCGAAGACATTATTTGGATGAAATCTTGGATCGCCTGACTGCAGCCCCACGCTGAACCAATTTTGATTTTTCCAACACGCCAGTACTTTTATTTTGCATCTAGTATCACATAAACTAGGATTGAAAAGATAAATCATTTAGAGATAGGGCTGCTAAAGAAAAACATTATTGAATTTCGCAATTTTTGAATCGCGGAAAAATTTTAGGAAAAAAAATCCAAAAACGCAAGTCCAGAATCGTGTTCAAGAGAACAGATAACACAGAAGAACGTTTCAAAATTTTCAACTTTTAAAAATATAAAGCAATTTCTTTTTTCTGAGAAATAAATTTCAGGTACATTTTTTTATAGTTATGCTTTCAGAATCTTAAAATTAAAATAAATCCAAATTCGACCATCAGTTTGCTTGTGGTAAGCGTTGAAAGTTTGTGAAGAACTAAGTGGCCAGCACGTTGTACATATGTTAAAACTGACAATAATATTCTTATATATAGAATTTATTAATAAAAAGTTTTTCTTATGTCGGGGTAAACTCGGCACTTCCTCGAGCGGCCACTGATGGTGCTTGCTGCACCATTCGTGGCCGAAGCTGAGAGACAGACAGGGCATCAGGTGACAGAGCAGCAACATTGAGAAAAGAGTCGTTTATGAGTAGCCAAGTGACACAGTTGCGTTTTGTAATATGTGCAAAGAAAAAGGCTAAATAATTACATCAAACCTTTGAAAGTAAGTAAAAATTGTGTCTATTAATTCTATTTACCCCAACCAAAATGATTGCCAATTAAATAACCAATCCTAGCTTCCGGGATTATTCGTTTCCCGACAAATGGCGCCCAACTAACAGCCCACCCCCCCGCCCCATGATGTAGTTATCTTCATCCCCCGTGACCCATGCTGTAGATTTTTTATCCCCCACAACCCCGCTGATCGGATACATTTTATCCGTTCACCCCGCGACGAGCGTGAAACCCCATCATCCGCCTCCACGCCGAATAGTCCCATTTAGCCCATCAGCCAGACGCCCAAGCGTCGGTCATTTGACGCCCCTGTTTGCATACGAAATGTGAGCCGTACTTGCAACGGTTTTTCTGCTGCACAATGCCACCGAATAAGACAACGATACCCCTGCTCCCCGATAATTTCCATGGCACTCCACATGAAAATGCTCGCGGTCATGTCAGTATGTTCAAAAAATGCCGAAACATAGCTGAGTGGTCCGACCGTAAAGCTCTTGCGTATTTCCTGTTCACACTTCGTGACGATGCTGGCGATTGGGCTGATTACCATTTGGCCAACCCTGCCAATGCAAACAAAACTTTAGACGAAATTTACGCCGATTTTATTGCGCGTTTTTCACTCACTTCAAAATTGCACGCAGAGCACTACCTGTCGAATCGCAAACATCAGCCAGACGAACGTCCGGAATTTTACATCCATGACATGGTCCGCTACGCTCAAAAAATTGACCCGAATTTCCCCGAATCTGCCTTGGTCCTGCGAATAATTCACAATTTGCAACCAAGTCTCCTCCGCCAACTTGGCGCTCCACTCCCGAAAACGATTACCGAATTGCTTGACCGAACCACAACTATTCATGGCTTAAATCAATTGGCCAATGGCACATTCGGAAATCCCAACAAGAAAAAGGTTCACTTTCAAGACGAGCCGTGCGAGCCGGTGGAACCCGACCCCGTCGAGAAAAAGCGAGCCCGTTGCTCCCACAACGCGCAGCTCTCTTCAGTAGCTCTGGATGACACTTCTTTAAATTCGTCACAAAAATCAGAAACTCAGACGAATGAATTTTCGACTCAACTTTCCACTTTAACTCAACAAGTGACAAGTCTCCAAAAATTGCTCCAGGTCCAGAGCAGCCAAAACTTCCAGCTATGCGCCTTCTGCGCCCAATTCGGCCACACTGAAGAGCACTGCTTTTCTAAAAAATTTGCAGCAATGCAAGACGAAAATAAAAAACTGCACGCGATGTTGGAAAACTGATAAGGAGGTCTGCCGATCAACCCCCAACGACAGACCTCCCAAATCAGCAACCCTCTCCGATCATGACGTCACCTCAACTTGTCACACCCTCTTTTCTTACCCCTGACGATTCTGTGGGTAAAAAATCACTCTACCTATCCCCATCCCCTTCTCCTACCCCTCTCCTTGCCGATGATGCTGTAAACCCCGCTGCGACGAGTTTAAAATCTGGACCCCAGACACCTCAATTTGGCCAAAAATGTCTGGTATCTCCGTCACAAACTCCTCGCCGTACGGTTGACCATCCAACCGCAACCACCCAATACCAATACCCTAAATCACCAAAAATCAACCGATCAATTTTTGGGCATCAATCTGGACCCCTGGCAACTGAAAATTGCCAAGTATCTCCAGCCAATACAGCCCTAAATTGTGTTTCACCTCCTATCAACATTTCCCCAACTTCCATACCAAAATTTGACCACCTGAATGATCCTCACACAAATGAAACTCCGCAGCGCACAATACCGCGCTTCTTTGAGGCGACCGATAGGCCTCCCCCCTCCGCCAACAAAACCCCCAAAATTTTGACTCCAAGTGCACATCTCATTGACCTCCGCAATAAAAATGACTCTTACGCGTTCCCGGCCACCGATAAGCCATCTCCACGCATACTTGAGACAAGTGCACTTCCAATTTCACAACAAACAACAACCGCGATCTTAATGAATGACAAACTGAAAAATGATTATCGCTCCACTCAAGCTTTCAGCGCCTCCGATGCGCGCTTGCCGTGGCCGTTTTGTGCCACTGATCGACCACCACCTTCTCCTCACGAGAATGAAAGAAGAAAATAAATACTGGATTTATTTCCAATTAGAATAGTGGGAATTTTATTGCTGCGCCTGAGAATTAATCAGTCACTTTTCAATAATAAAATCAGTAACAAATCAATCCTAGAACAACAAAAAAATTAAAGGAACACAAAAAACAAAAACTCCGATGCAATAAAATGATTTAAGAAAAAAAAACTTTCAACTGATATTCTCCGCAGTTACCATTATAGTCCCGGGAGTAGAAAATTTAGGTTAAAAATAATCTTTCTTCCTTACCGAAAATTTCCCCGAGAAAAAAATTACGTTGTTGCTAATCAAATTTTCATTACAGAATTTTGCCAATTGCCAATGACGTTGTATGACTGTGACCCTTCGACAGAGACGTCCGCACGCAATACCGCACTGGCGTGCATTTAATAAAAAAAATCTAACTTTCAGCCTCAATAGCGCCTTATGCGCCCACGGCTCCCTCTGAGCTCCCCCTAAATTAAACGTCTTAATGTCTGAGGGTTATGAGCACTTTAAATCCCTTTTTTTTAGATTTAGACACACTATATTATAAGATTAAACCAATCAAAAAATACACAAATGAAACACAAAACTATCATTCAAAATTCACGAACAAACTGTACTTTCGGCAAATCAAAAAATTAAAATGTAACACAACACAAACAAATGCATGAAACAAATTTATTTTCAACTCGCTCAAATCATTGCTTTGCGCAAAAAATTGGAGTTCAGTCCTTCTCAATTTTGGTTCTCAAAACCACATTTCATCCCTCCACTACAAAAAAAAAAAATTGCATCTCCAACTCGTAGGTATATCTGCTTCTGTTGTCCCGGGGGGGAAAAGCCAGTTTGCCATGGGACCTTGTCCACCCCATTTAAGCAATGCCTGCCCTGGGTAGCAGCGGAAGTAGAGAAAACTGCTGAGAAACAACTCCTATTTCTTGCGCAACGCATCCCCAAGAATTCGCTAATTAAAATTTTAAATTTCACAAACCAATTAAATTGTACAACTAAAATTAACTTCTCAAATTAATTCGACACAAAAACCCTCAAGTGCTCAATTGAAAATGTATCTTTAATTTTAAGTTGTGCTCAATTGAAAATGTATCTTTCAATTTATGTGTTCTATTGAAAATGTGTATCTTTAAAAAATTAAATTGTTGTCCTCATGTTGCGACAACCTTTTAGGTCCAGTCTAGGGAACTGGACCAGGGTGCGAATTGCACAGCTTATTACCCAGCTATTAACTACTTAATAGCTGGTGCCGGGTCATGGAACCAACCTCCGTGGTTCGGCACGTTGAGTGCGCAGTGACAAAAGCTAATATGATTATCGCCTTGAATAAATCTATTAATGCATTACTTATTAAATGAGTTTCCACTTTATTATTTAATGTCAACTGACTGACCCTCACCCTCTATGCCTTCGGCTCACCCTGAAGACCTCCTGTCCAAGGACACAGCCCGCCGGGAGTGTTGTGGTTCCCAAAGACTTCTTTAAAATCACTATATTTCTATTCTAGGAATTAATAAATAAAAACCAGACTTTATGCTCTGCGAGCCAAGCAAACACTCTTATTTTTATTGTGCGGCACCGAGGTGTCGCCTGCTCTGATTTGAGGGGAAATACAGGAGGAGTGGGATAACATATATTACATGAATACAAAATAATATTATTCTTTATTTACAGTAATAATATGGTCGTCACATTCTCCCCCCTTAAAAACAAAAACCAAAAAACCTGAAAAAAAAAAGAAAAATAGATTGAACTCCGGGTATTATTTAATTTTTTTTTAATTTCTAACCCTCAATTTGGAGAATTGGAGCAAATAATAAATAAATCAAAAAGAAAAAAAAAGAATGAGAAAAATTATCAATGCTCTTGCTCACGTGAATTTATTCACTCTGGAATGAATAGCGAGCGCACCATCTAGATTGAATTGCCGGTCGAATATTTGCGTCAGATTTTGCCTGCATGCTGCGCCGTGACTCATGCAGTCACTGCTGGCCCGCCGCGACTTTCTGCATTCGCTGCCTGCATGCCGAACATTGCCAGACTTGTGAAGCAAACCATTTTTTTTTATATATATAAAATTTCCTCAATTATTAAAAATAAAAATTTCCATTTAGTTTTCTGACAATTAAAAAAAAATTGGCCGTTTTTACTGCCAATAGAGCATTAATTTTAAATTCAAAGCTTGCTCCAGCCGCCAAATAATTCTCAACTCTGGGCAAAGGTGCCCACATTCCTATTGAACTCTTCGGTTCGAAAATTAATTTTCCCATGAGAGTCGGGCGCTCTCATTTAAGTTTTCCCAGACTATATGTCCAGTCCTTCCGGTCAGGTTTCTGGGAACATTTATTCCGACCCATTTTGGACCGGTGTTCGCCAAACTCGTTGCCAGAGGAGGACCCATCAAGGTGAACTCAATGTGTTCTCTGGCCGTCCGTGCTGCCTCGTGGGCGCATACATGCCACTCGCGTTGCTGGAACGCCGCGGCACGCTTGCAAGTGCGTCTTGTCTTAAACCCGCTAATGCTCTGGTTTGTTGCAAGTCGGCACGTTGCGACTCAAATTGTGCAGCGGAAGCTGCTGAAGATGCACCAAAACTCTGAGAGTTTTGAATTCCGTACATTCCAGCAGTGTCTGGCTGCTGTCCTCCAAAGTCACTTTGGAAGTGACCTTGCGCACGGTCACGACCTTGGCAACTTCGGGACCAATTCGAGGACCGGCTCATTTTGGCCTGAGGGTCAGTCCTTGATTTTAATTCCACTTTTGTGGGCAAAAACTATGTTTCATTTATTTTCTTTTTAAGTGTAGCATTTTTTCAATAGATTATTCGTATTAGCGAGCCCCCAATTGCGACAACCTTTTAGGTCCAGTCTAGGGAACTGGACCAGGGTGCGAATTGCACAGCTTATTACCCAGCTATTAACTACTTAATAGCTGGTGCCGGGTCATGGAACCAACCTCCGTGGTTCGGCACGTTGAGTGCGCAGTGACAAAAGCTAATATGATTATCGCCTTGAATAAATCTATTAATGCATTACTTATTAAATGAGTTTCCACTTTATTATTTAATGTCAACTGACTGACCCTCACCCTCTATGCCTTCGGCTCACCCTGAAGACCTCCTGTCCAAGGACACAGCCCGCCGGGAGTGTTGTGGTTCCCAAAGACTTCTTTAAAATCACTATATTTCTATTCTAGGAATTAATAAATAAAAACCAGACTTTATGCTCTGCGAGCCAAGCAAACACTCTTATTTTTATTGTGCGGCACCGAGGTGTCGCCTGCTCTGATTTGAGGGGAAATACAGGAGGAGTGGGATAACATATATTACATGAATACAAAATAATATTATTCTTTATTTACAGTAATAATATGGTCGTCACAATGTCACCGATGATCTTGTCTCCTCTCAGCCGGGGAGGTGTCGGGGTAAACTCGGCACTTCCTCGAGCGGCCACTGATGGTGCTTGCTGCACCATTCGTGGCCGAAGCTGAGAGACAGACAGGGCATCAGGTGACAGAGCAGCAACATTGAGAAAAGAGTCGTTTATGAGTAGCCAAGTGACACAGTTGCGTTTTGTAATATGTGCAAAGAAAAAGGCTAAATAATTACATCAAACCTTTGAAAGTAAGTAAAAATTGTGTCTATTAATTCTATTTACCCCAACCAAAATGATTACCAATTAAATAACCAATCCTAGCTTCCGGGATTATTCGTTTCCCGACACTTAAATATATCTCTTTAATGGATTTTATTGAATCTTAACCCTATTCAAAGAAAATTTAGATTTTAAATTCACTGTCAATCTAACAATAAGAAAAATAGTGAGAATTATTTAAATATTGAGCTGTTGTGTACGTGAAGCGTATCCCGACTGGAGGCATCTCAATAAAAAAGAATATTTCCCATGCACAAACCTTTTTAATATTCTTACGTGTTCATGCAGCAGTGGGACAATTGCGCAACTACATACGGACAATAAACTGAGTGCTTTATTTAACCCACTGGTGTTATAAACGTAAATAAAATCCCTAAAAACTGAACATTATAATCTTGTGGTTGGAGAGGAATAAAAATGAGCATTTCCAAGTTAATCTGTGGGGCATTAGGAGGATTTTGAAAATGGAATAACCTTACTTTGATTTTTACATAATTATGATTAAAAAGGTCCCTATGGGTGTCTACTCACAAATTTTCAGCCCCCTAAAATTTTGAGAGGTCAAAAATGGGCAATAAGCAATAATTATTTTGAAGTTGTCATAACTTAAGAATGGATAAAGCTATAATGACGATCTCAGCTACAATTCTTGGCCAAACTTCTTTTTTAAGCAATTGAATATAAAAAATATATGTTTCTTAAATACAAGTCTGACTGAGGGAAGTGGAAAATATTTTGAGGAAATAATTCAGCAACATCCGCAAAAAAATATTAATCAAACGTTTTCTATGTTTAAAAAGTTACTTTCAATTTTTAAAATTTTTTCACCAGTTATTATTTTTTAAGTCTTAAGTACTACTGCAAAAAGAAAGAGCAAGTCTTAAGCTACAACTTCTTCATCAAGTTTTTCTTTCTAAAAAAAATCACCCTAAATCAAATCCTTTTATATCTCTGAGGTGTCCGCGTGAATTGAGAATCGCATAGAACATCATTTTTAGTTTTATTTGAAGCAACTCTTAATCTTCCATTTTATTTTTTTATTTTTAATGCATTATTATTAATTTTTTAATTTTGACCTGACGTGATCCATCCAAGTCGGGGGTCAACCAAATCTCAATTCGCAATCAACAATAAAAATTTGCACAAAATTTGGCCGGGAGAGTGGTACTTCTCGGACAAAAAGAAATAGCGCAAATTCGACACGGAACGAAACGAGCTTCAGGATTCTGAATCTAAAAGAAACGAGCTTTCCAACTGTGTGAATTTTATTGCGTGTCAATATAGCAATTTAGATTTCTGGGTGAAATTCTCGATTTAAAATAGTGTAAAAAGAAAAACAACAATTCTGAAGCGTATCTCTAAACTTTAAATAGAACGCAAACGTTGGGAGCAGTGAGCGGCACAACTGCAGAAAGCTAGTTTTACGAGGACGATGCCGAAAATGCCCAGGTTTTTGCGGTTTGGTGACGCCTGACCTGAGAAAAACGTCGGAAAACACGGCAGGTCGTATTTTAATACCCAATCGCAAATGTGCTTTGTTTATAATTAACCTGAAAATCCCATTGTTGGTGAATAAGGTCTATTTGAATGCGTTTAAACCCAACAATTGAAATCAACATTGTCGAATTTCAAAACGCTTAATTTCGATTGTTGCTCACTATACTTAAATGCCATTGTTTAAAGAATTCATATCAGATTCAAGTCAGAGGCCGAAGGAGTAAGAACGTTTCTAGTGATCGCGATAATGTTCTCCTTCGACGCCGAGCGGCAGCGAAATTTGGAGAGATTGCAGAGACTGAAAGAGCACAAACGCAAGTACAGCGTCTCCAGCTACAAGAACAACCTGAAGGAAGCGCAGCAGCTGCGAAAAACCACCAAGGACGCTGAAACACCGACGCGGGCGGTCAAGAAGCAGAGCAATAAGGCCAGGGACGGACCCAAGGTTCAAGGACGAGATGAAAAGAAGAAGCAGAAGGTAGTAAGCAATGGATACAAATTTTAATCAAGATATGAAGTTACAAATTTCAATGCGGGGTCCTTTTACGTGACAATTTTATTCAAAATTCGTGTAGGCGGTCCAGAATTTAAACAATTATGACCATCTGGACGTGAAAGTAGGCCATATATTTTAAAACGTTTTTAAAGGTCTATATATTTTTTAGTGTTCTAAACACAAGTAAAACGTATATAAAATATAAATCAAAACTACAATCAAAAATTTTCTGTCTCAACAAAAATATACTTGTTTTACAGTTTATATTTTTTTTAATACTCAAATGAATTAAAAAAATATTTTTTTGTTAAATTTTTTAAGTAAATTTATTACGTATTAAACAGGAGACCACAGATCATGAAGTTACAGTTGCCATTCCAATCAAGAGGGATGACGTCTCTGTCGCCTTGGATCACACTACCTTTGCCTTTACAACACAGGAACTCTTGGAGATAATTAAAACCCCGCTGCCCATGAGATCCAAGATGATTGCCAAAGAGGTACTCTTGCTTACAATTTATAAAATTTTAAGTTTCTGCGATCAGAAAAAATAAATAAAATTTGATTATTAATAAATTTGAGCTACTCATAAATAGTTACATGATATTATATTTATCATTTTTGTTTCTTTTTTTTAATTTTTGCAAATTTACATTTTTTACTTTAAGGAGTCGACCAAGATTGCTGCTGCTAAAGAGGAGACACTGCCAGTATGTCACTCGGAAAATAACTTGGAAAATGCCCTCAAGTTCGTGTCCAACTCAAAGGAACAACCCCCTTCGAATCCTGTGGCCGCAAAAGTTCCACTGCCCTTGGCCCACGCGAAAGTCACCCAAGAGCCAGAAGAGGATGAGGTCGCTCCGAAAGTGGAGGCCAGAGCTGAGACGAAAACCAAACTGGACCTGCTGAAGGAGGGCATCACCCTCGTTGGCTCTGTGATGAAGAACTGGGCGATGGCGGCGCTGCTCGTCGGAACCGGCGTCCTCATTGCTTTTGTTGATCAGGAGCATGTGGACAACCTGTTGTACTCCCTGTCCACGATCGAGATCGTCGAGCACTTCTGAATACGCGAGCACATGAAGTATTTAAATTTAATACTGCCACTTAGCACTTCTCAAATTTTCCAGGTCGAATTTTGATTCTTTTCGCAAATTCAAATTTTCCAAAAACATTTCCTGGCATAATGAAAGTTTTCTTAATAGTTGAATTAATAGCTCTGTTTTAGGAGAACAAAAAAAAAATAAGAAAATGCCTTATTAGAATATCCGAATAGCAATATTTTGAGAGTCATAAGTAAAAAAAAATTTGTAATCGACCCTTGTGAACACGATTCTGAGGTCGGTTTTTTTTTTAAAAAATTTCTTGTCTCCTAGTTTTACTCTAATTATTGCTCAAAATTTGAAAATTTTTGGAGGGTTAGTTAAGTTGTTACACCATCTAAAAATTTATTTTACCATACTTGCTATTTTCTGGAATATTTCCCAATTCCATAAGGGGTCCGCGTTTTGATGATTATTAGCTATTCAGAAATTTGATAGCATATTTTTTATGGCTGCTTTTACGACTGGAAAGTGAGGTCAAAACAATTACGTTAAGAGAGTATTCAACCCGAAACAAAATTTTGAAATAATCCAAATGCAGCTTGGTTCTTGGACCTCTAAAATTTCAAATCTTTTTCGCCGGCTTCCAGCTGTTTTTCGCAATAGACAAATTTCCAAACCCCTTTTGTAAAATTCCAAACTCTTTGGATAAAGGCATTTTATGTATCATTCAATTTGGCACGTCAAGGAGAAGCTAGACTAAATTTTTAACAAATCTGAATCGTTTTTAAAATTTCCATAGCTTAATTTGGAAATGAAAATAATTTACAATTCGAGATCTTTCCCTCCAAAAATTTCAACTTTTTATCTCCGCCTCTTGATGTCTTAACGCGAGGCCACATGAGTCCAAGTGGCCCCAGACTTGACTGAATGTTCTCTGTGTACTCGCGTTTGACAAGGGACACATTATTTTTTTTTTTGCGCATTTTGATAATAATTGCAAATTAACCATTTGCTCAATTCAATAACATTGTTCTTACGGCAGTCCTATCTTGAAATTATTGTATCTATTCAATACTAGAAATAAAAGGAAACATACTGGCGTAGGAAAAATCAAAATTGGTTCAGCGTGGCGCTGCATTCAGGCGATCACAGATTTGTAAAGTAGGCAACCGAAGACATTATTTGGATGAAATCTTGGATCGCCTGACTGCAGCCCCACGCTGAACCAATTTTGATTTTTCCAACACGCCAGTACTTTTATTTTGCATCTAGTATCACATAAACTAGGATTGAAAAGATAAATCATTTAGAGATAGGGCTGCTAAAGAAAAACATTATTGAATTTCGCAATTTTTGAATCGCGGAAAAATTTTAGGAAAAAAAATCCAAAAACGCAAGTCCAGAATCGTGTTCAAGAGAACAGATAACACAGAAGAACGTTTCAAAATTTTCAACTTTTAAAAATATAAAGCAATTTCTTTTTTCTGAGAAATAAATTTCAGGTACATTTTTTTATAGTTATGCTTTCAGAATCTTAAAATTAAAATAAATCCAAATTCGACCATCAGTTTGCTTGTGGTAAGCGTTGAAAGTTTGTGAAGAACTAAGTGGCCAGCACGTTGTACATATGTTAAAACTGACAATAATATTCTTATATATAGAATTTATTAATAAAAAGTTTTTCTTAAATATATCTCTTTAATGGATTTTATTGAATCTTAACCCTATTCAAAGAAAATTTAGATTTTAAATTCACTGTCAATCTAACAATAAGAAAAATAGTGAGAATTATTTAAATATTGAGCTGTTGTGTACGTGAAGCGTATCCCGACTGGAGGCATCTCAATAAAAAAGAATATTTCCCATGCACAAACCTTTTTAATATTCTTACGTGTTCATGCAGCAGTGGGACAATTGCGCAACTACATACGGACAATAAACTGAGTGCTTTATTTAACCCACTGGTGTTATAAACGTAAATAAAATCCCTAAAAACTGAACATTATAATCTTGTGGTTGGAGAGGAATAAAAATGAGCATTTCCAAGTTAATCTGTGGGGCATTAGGAGGATTTTGAAAATGGAATAACCTTACTTTGATTTTTACATAATTATGATTAAAAAGGTCCCTATGGGTGTCTACTCACAAATTTTCAGCCCCCTAAAATTTTGAGAGGTCAAAAATGGGCAATAAGCAATAATTATTTTGAAGTTGTCATAACTTAAGAATGGATAAAGCTATAATGACGATCTCAGCTACAATTCTTGGCCAAACTTCTTTTTTAAGCAATTGAATATAAAAAATATATGTTTCTTAAATACAAGTCTGACTGAGGGAAGTGGAAAATATTTTGAGGAAATAATTCAGCAACATCCGCAAAAAAATATTAATCAAACGTTTTCTATGTTTAAAAAGTTACTTTCAATTTTTAAAATTTTTTCACCAGTTATTATTTTTTAAGTCTTAAGTACTACTGCAAAAAGAAAGAGCAAGTCTTAAGCTACAACTTCTTCATCAAGTTTTTCTTTCTAAAAAAAATCACCCTAAATCAAATCCTTTTATATCTCTGAGGTGTCCGCGTGAATTGAGAATCGCATAGAACATCATTTTTAGTTTTATTTGAAGCAACTCTTAATCTTCCATTTTATTTTTTTATTTTTAATGCATTATTATTAATTTTTTAATTTTGACCTGACGTGATCCATCCAAGTCGGGGGTCAACCAAATCTCAATTCGCAATCAACAATAAAAATTTGCACAAAATTTGGCCGGGAGAGTGGTACTTCTCGGACAAAAAGAAATAGCGCAAATTCGACACGGAACGAAACGAGCTTCAGGATTCTGAATCTAAAAGAAACGAGCTTTCCAACTGTGTGAATTTTATTGCGTGTCAATATAGCAATTTAGATTTCTGGGTGAAATTCTCGATTCAAGATAGTGAAATTTTGTAAAAAGAAAAACAACAATTCTGAAGCGTATCTTTAAACTTTAAATAGAACGCAAACGTTGGGAGCAGTGAGCGGCACAACTGCAGAAAGCTAGTTTTACGAGGACGATGCCGAAAATGCCCAGGTTTTTGCGGTTTGGTGACGCCTGACCTGAGAAAAACGTCGGAAAACACGGCAGGTCGTATTTTAATACCCAATCGCAAATGTGCTTTGTTTATAATTAACCTGAAAATCCCATTGTTGGTGAATAAGGTCTATTTGAATGCGTTTAAACCCAACAATTGAAATCAACATTGTCGAATTTCAAAACGCTTAATTTCGATTGTTGCTCACTATACTTAAATGCCATTGTTTAAAGAATTCATATCAGATTCAAGTCAGAGGCCGAAGGAGTAAGAACGTTTCTAGTGATCGCGATAATGTTCTCCTTCGACGCCGAGCGGCAGCGAAATTTGGAGAGATTGCAGAGACTGAAAGAGCACAAACGCAAGTACAGTGTCTCCAGCTACAAGAACAACCTGAAGGAAGCGCAGCAGCTGCGAAAAACCACCAAGGACGCTGAAACACCGACGCGGGCGGTCAAGAAGCAGAGCAATAAGGCCAGGGACGGACCCAAGGTTCAAGGACGAGATGAAAAGAAGAAGCAGAAGGTAGTAAGCAATGGATACAAATTTTAATCAAGATATGAAGTTACAAATTTCAATGCGGGGTCCTTTTACGTGACAATTTTATTCAAAATTCGTGTAGGCGGTCCAGAATTTAAACAATTATGACCATCTGGACGTGAAAGTAGGCCATATATTTTAAAACGTTTTTAAAGGTCTATATATTTTTTAGTGTTCTAAACACAAGTAAAACGTATATAAAATATAAATCAAAACTACAATCAAAAATTTTCTGTCTCAACAAAAATATACTTGTTTTACAGTTTATATTTTTTTTAATACTCAAATGAATTAAAAAAATATTTTTTTGTTAAATTTTTTAAGTAAATTTATTACGTATTAAACAGGAGACCACAGATCATGAAGTTACAGTTGCCATTCCAATCAAGAGGGATGACGTCTCTGTCGCCTTGGATCACACTACCTTTGCCTTTACAACACAGGAACTCTTGGAGATAATTAAAACCCCGCTGCCCATGAGATCCAAGATGATTGCCAAAGAGGTACTCTTGCTTACAATTTATAAAATTTTAAGTTTCTGCGATCAGAAAAAATAAATAAAATTTGATTATTAATAAATTTGAGCTACTCATAAATAGTTACATGATATTATATTTATCATTTTTGTTTCTTTTTTTTTAATTTTTGCAAATTTACATTTTTTACTTTTAGGAGTCGACCAAGATTGCTGCTGCTAAAGAGGAGACACTGCCAGTATGTCACTCGGAAAATAACTTGGAAAATGCCCTCAAGTTCGTGTCCAACTCAAAGGAACAACCCCCTTCGAATCCTGTGGCCGCAAAAGTTCCACTGCCCTTGGCCCACGCGAAAGTCACCCAAGAGCCAGAAGAGGATGAGGTCGCTCCGAAAGTGGAGGCCAGAGCTGAGACGAAAACCAAACTGGACCTGCTGAAGGAGGGCATCACCCTCGTTGGCTCTGTGATGAAGAACTGGGCGATGGCGGCGCTGCTCGTCGGAACCGGCGTCCTCATTGCTTTTGTTGATCAGGAGCATGTGGACAACCTGTTGTACTCCCTGTCCACGATCGAGATCGTCGAGCACTTCTGAATACGCGAGCACATGAAGTATTTAAATTTAATACTGCCACTTAGCACTTCTCAAATTTTCCAGGTCGAATTTTGATTCTTTTCGCAAATTCAAATTTTCCAAAAACATTTCCTGGCATAATGAAAGTTTTCTTAATAGTTGAATTAATAGCTCTGTTTTAGGAGAACAAAAAAAAAATAAGAAAATGCCTTATTAGAATATCCGAATAGCAATATTTTGAGAGTCATAAGTAAAAAAAAATTTGTAATCGACCCTTGTGAACACGATTCTGAGGTCGGTTTTTTTTTTAAAAAATTTCTTGTCTCCTAGTTTTACTCTAATTATTGCTCAAAATTTGAAAATTTTTGGAGGGTTAGTTAAGTTGTTACACCATCTAAAAATTTATTTTACCATACTTGCTATTTTCTGGAATATTTCCCAATTCCATAAGGGGTCCGCGTTTTGATGATTATTAGCTATTCAGAAATTTGATAGCATATTTTTTATGGCTGCTTTTACGACTGGAAAGTGAGGTCAAAACAATTACGTTAAGAGAGTATTCAACCCGAAACAAAATTTTGAAATAATCCAAATGCAGCTTGGTTCTTGGACCTCTAAAATTTCAAATCTTTTTCGCCGGCTTCCAGCTGTTTTTCGCAATAGACAAATTTCCAAACCCCTTTTGTAAAATTCCAAACTCTTTGGATAAAGGCATTTTATGTATCATTCAATTTGGCACGTCAAGGAGAAGCTAGACTAAATTTTTAACAAATCTGAATCGTTTTTAAAATTTCCATAGCTTAATTTGGAAATGAAAATAATTTACAATTCGAGATCTTTCCCTCCAAAAATTTCAACTTTTTATCTCCGCCTCTTGATGTCTTAACGCGAGGCCACAAGAGTCCAAGTGGCCCCAGACTTGACTGAATGTTCTCTGTGTACTCGCGTTTGACAAGGGACACATTATTTTTTTTTTTTGCGCATTTTGATAATAATTGCAAATTAACCATTTGCTTAATTCAATAACATTGTTCTTACGGCAGTCCTATCTTGAAATTATTGTATCTATTCAATACTAGAAATAAAAGGAAACATACTGGCGTAGGAAAAATCAAAATTGGTTCAGCGTGGCGCTGCATTCAGGCGATCACAGATTTGTAAAGTAGGCAACCGAAGACATTATTTGGATGAAATCTTGGATCGCCTGACTGCAGCCCCACGCTGAACCAATTTTGATTTTTCCAACACGCCAGTACTTTTATTTTGCATCTAGTATCACATAAACTAGGATTGAAAAGATAAATCATTTAGAGATAGGGCTGCTAAAGAAAAACATTATTGAATTTCGCAATTTTTGAATCGCGGAAAAATTTTAGGAAAAAAAATCCAAAAACGCAAGTCCAGAATCGTGTTCAAGAGAACAGATAACACAGAAGAACGTTTCAAAATTTTCAACTTTTAAAAATATAAAGCAATTTCTTTTTTCTGAGAAATAAATTTCAGGTACATTTTTTTATAGTTATGCTTTCAGAATCTTAAAATTAAAATAAATCCAAATTCGACCATCAGTTTGCTTGTGGTAAGCGTTGAAAGTTTGTGAAGAACTAAGTGGCCAGCACGTTGTACATATGTTAAAACTAACAATAATATTCTTATATATAGAACTTATTAATAAACAGTCTTTCTTAAATATATCTCTTTAATGGATTTTATTTAATCTTAGCCCTATTCAAAGTAAATTTAGATTTTAAATTCACTGTCAATCTAACAATAAGAAAAATAGTGAGAATTATTTAAATATTGAGCTGTTGTGTACGTGAAGCGTATCCCGACTGGAGGCATCTCAATAAAAAAGAATATTTCCCATGCACAAACCTTTTTAATATTCTTACGTGTTCATGCAGCAGTGGGACAATTGCGCAACTACATACGGACAATAAACTGAGTGCTTTATTTAACACACTGGTGTTATAAACGTAAATAAAATCCCTAAAAACTGAACATTATAATCTTGTGGTTGGAGAGGAATAAAAATGAGCATTTCCAAGTTAATCTGTGGGGCATTAGGAGGATTTTGAAAATGGAATAACCTTACTTTGATTTTTACATAATTATGATTAAAAAGGTCCCTATGGGTGTCTACTCACAAATTTTCAGCCCCCTAAAATTTTGAGAGGTCAAAAATGGGCAATAAGCAATAATTATTTTGAAGTTGTCATAACTTAAGAATGGATAAAGCTATAATGACGATCTCAGCTACAATTCTTGGCCAAACTTCTTTTTTAAGCAATTGAATATAAAAAATATATGTTTCTTAAATACAAGTCTGACTGAGGGAAGTGGAAAATATTTTGAGGAAATAATTCAGCAACATCCGCAAAAAAATATTAATCAAACGTTTTCTATGTTTAAAAAGTTACTTTCAATTTTTAAAATTTTTTCACCAGTTATTATTTTTTAAGTCTTAAGTACTACTGCAAAAAGAAAGAGCAAGTCTTAAGCTACAACTTCTTCATCAAGTTTTTCTTTCTAAAAAAAATCACCCTAAATCAAATCCTTTTATATCTCTGAGGTGTCCGCGTGAATTGAGAATCGCATAGAACATCATTTTTAGTTTTATTTGAAGCAACTCTTAATCTTCCATTTTATTTTTTTATTTTTAATGCATTATTATTAATTTTTTAATTTTGACCTGACGTGATCCATCCAAGTCGGGGGTCAACCAAATCTCAATTCGCAATCAACAATAAAAATTTGCACAAAATTTGGCTGGGAGAGTGGTACTTCTCGGACAAAAAGAAATAGCGCAAATTCGACACGGAACGAAACGAGCTTCAGGATTCTGAATCTAAAAGAAACGAGCTTTTCAACTGTGTGAATTTTATTGCCTGTCAATATAGCAATTTTGATTTCTGGGTGAAATTCTCGATTTAAAATAGTGTAAAAAGAAAAACAACAATTCTGAAGCGTATCTCTAAACTTTAAATAGAACGCAAACGTTGGGAGCAGTGAGCGGCACAACTGCAGAAAGCTCGTTTTACGAGGATGCCGAAAATGCCCAGGTTTTTGCGGTTTGGTGACGCCTGACCTGAGAAAAACGTCGGAAAACACGGCAGGTCGTATTTTAATACCCAATCGCAAATGTGCTTTGTTTATAATTAACCTGAAAATCCCATTGTTGGTGAATAAGGTCTATTTGAATGCGTTTAAACCCAACAATTGAAATCAACATTGTCGAATTTCAAAACGCTTAATTTCGATTGTTGCTCACTATACTTAAATGCCATTGTTTAAAGAATTCATATCAGATTCAAGTCAGAGGCCGAAGGAGTAAGAACGTTTCTAGTGATCGCGATAATGTTCTCCTTCGACGCCGAGCGGCAGCGAAATTTGGAGAGATTGCAGAGACTGAAAGAGCACAAACGCAAGTACAGTGTCTCCAGCTACAAGAACAACCTGAAGGAAGCGCAGCAGCTGCGAAAAACCACCAAGGACGCTGAAACACCGACGCGGGCGGTCAAGAAGCAGAGCAATAAGGCCAGGGACGGACCCAAGGTTCAAGGACGAGATGAAAAGAAGAAGCAGAAGGTAGTAAGCAATGGATAAAAATTTTAATCAAGATATGAAGTTACAAATTTCAATGCGGGGTCCTTTTACGTGACAATTTTATTCAAAATTCGTGTAGGCGGTCCAGAATTTAAACAATTATGACCATCTGGACGTGCAAGTAGGCCATATATTTTAAAACGTTTTTAAAGGTCTATATATTTTTTAGTGTTCTAAACACAAGTAAAACGTATATAAAATATAAATCAAAACTACAATCAAAAATTTTCTGTCTCAACAAAAATATACTTGTTTTACAGTTTATATTTTTTTTAATACTCAAATGAATTAAAAAAATATTTTTTTGTTAAATTTTTTAAGTAAATTTATTACGTATTAAACAGGAGACCACAGATCATGAAGTTACAGTTGCCATTCCAATCAAGAGGGATGACGTCTCTGTCGCCTTGGATCACACTACCTTTGCCTTTACAACACAGGAACTCTTGGAGATAATTAAAACCCCGCTGCCCATGAGATCCAAGATGATTGCCAAAGAGGTACTCTTGCTTACAATTTATAAAATTTTAAGTTTCTGCGATCAGAAAAAATAAATAAAATTTGATTATTAATAAATTTGAGCTACTCATAAATAGTTACATGATATTATATTTATCATTTTTGTTTCTTTTTTTTAATTTTTGCAAATTTACATTTTTTACTTTTAGGAGTCGACCAAGATTGCTGCTGCTAAAGAGGAGACACTGCCAGTATGTCACTCGGAAAATAACTTGGAAAATGCCCTCAAGTTCGTGTCCAACTCAAAGGAACAACCCCCTTCGAATCCTGTGGCCGCAAAAGTTCCACTGCCCTTGGCCCACGCGAAAGTCACCCAAGAGCCAGAAGAGGATGAGGTCGCTCCGAAAGTGGAGGCCAGAGCTGAGACGAAAACCAAACTGGACCTGCTGAAGGAGGGCATCACCCTCGTTGGCTCTGTGATGAAGAACTGGGCGATGGCGGCGCTGCTCGTCGGAACCGGCGTCCTCATTGCTTTTGTTGATCAGGAGCATGTGGACAACCTGTTGTACTCCCTGTCCACGATCGAGATCGTCGAGCACTTCTGAATACGCGAGCACATGAAGTATTTAAATTTAATACTGCCACTTAGCACTTCTCAAATTTTCCAGGTCGAATTTTGATTCTTTTCGCAAATTCAAATTTTCCAAAAACATTTCCTGGCATAATGAAAGTTTTCTTAATAGTTGAATTAATAGCTCTGTTTTAGGAGAACAAAAAAAAAATAAGAAAATGCCTTATTAGAATATCCGAATAGCAATATTTTGAGAGTCATAAGTAAAAAAAAATTTGTAATCGACCCTTGTGAACACGATTCTGAGGTCGGTTTTTTTTTTAAAAAATTTCTTGTCTCCTAGTTTTACTCTAATTATTGCTCAAAATTTGAAAATTTTTGGAGGGTTAGTTAAGTTGTTACACCATCTAAAAATTTATTTTACCATACTTGCTATTTTCTGGAATATTTCCCAATTCCATAAGGGGTCCGCGTTTTGATGATTATTAGCTATTCAGAAATTTGATAGCATATTTTTTATGGCTGCTTTTACGACTGGAAAGTGAGGTCAAAACAATTACGTTAAGAGAGTATTCAACCCGAAACAAAATTTTGAAATAATCCAAATGCAGCTTGGTTCTTGGACCTCTAAAATTTCAAATCTTTTTCGCCGGCTTCCAGCTGTTTTTCGCAATAGACAAATTTCCAAACCCCTTTTGTAAAATTCCAAACTCTTTGGATAAAGGCATTTTATGTATCATTCAATTTGGCACGTCAAGGAGAAGCTAGACTAAATTTTTAACAAATCTGAATCGTTTTTAAAATTTCCATAGCTTAATTTGGAAATGAAAATAATTTACAATTCGAGATCTTTCCCTCCAAAAATTTCAACTTTTTATCTCCGCCTCTTGATGTCTTAACGCGAGGCCACATGAGTCCAAGTGGCCCCAGACTTGACTGAATGTTCTCTGTGTACTCGCGTTTGACAAGGGACACATTTTTTTTTTTTTTTTTTTTGCGCATTTTGATAATAATTGCAAATTAACCATTTGCTCAATTCAATAACATTGTTCTTACGGCAGTCCTATCTTGAAATTATTGTATCTATTCAATACTAGAAATAAAAGGAAACATACTGGCGTAGGAAAAATCAAAATTGGTTCAGCGTGGCGCTGCATTCAGGCGATCACAGATTTGTAAAGTAGGCAACCGAAGACATTATTTGGATGAAATCTTGGATCGCCTGACTGCAGCCCCACGCTGAACCAATTTTGATTTTTCCAACACGCCAGTACTTTTATTTTGCATCTAGTATCACATAAACTAGGATTGAAAAGATAAATCATTTAGAGATAGGGCTGCTAAAGAAAAACATTATTGAATTTCGCAATTTTTGAATCGCGGAAAAATTTTAGGAAAAAAAATCCAAAAACGCAAGTCCAGAATCGTGTTCAAGAGAACAGATAACACAGAAGAACGTTTCAAAATTTTCAACTTTTAAAAATATAAAGCAATTTCTTTTTTCTGAGAAATAAATTTCAGGTACATTTTTTTATAGTTATGCTTTCAGAATCTTAAAATTAAAATAAATCCAAATTCGACCATCAGTTTGCTTGTGGTAAGCGTTGAAAGTTTGTGAAGAACTAAGTGGCCAGCACGTTGTACATATGTTAAAACTGACAATAATATTCTTATATATAGAATTTATTAATAAAAAGTTTTTCTTAAATATATCTCTTTAATGGATTTTATTGAATCTTAACCCTATTCAAAGAAAATTTAGATTTTAAATTCACTGTCAATCTAACAATAAGAAAAATAGTGAGAATTATTTAAATATTGAGCTGTTGTGTACGTGAAGCGTATCCCGACTGGAGGCATCTCAATAAAAAAGAATATTTCCCATGCACAAACCTTTTTAATATTCTTACGTGTTCATGCAGCAGTGGGACAATTGCGCAACTACATACGGACAATAAACTGAGTGCTTTATTTAACCCACTGGTGTTATAAACGTAAATAAAATCCCTAAAAACTGAACATTATAATCTTGTGGTTGGAGAGGAATAAAAATGAGCATTTCCAAGTTAATCTGTGGGGCATTAGGAGGATTTTGAAAATGGAATAACCTTACTTTGATTTTTACATAATTATGATTAAAAAGGTCCCTATGGGTGTCTACTCACAAATTTTCAGCCCCCTAAAATTTTGAGAGGTCAAAAATGGGCAATAAGCAATAATTATTTTGAAGTTGTCATAACTTTAGAATGGATAAAGCTATAATGACGATCTCAGCTACAATTCTTGGCCAAACTTATTATTTAAGCAATTGAATATAAAAAATATATGTTTTTTAAATACAAGTCTGACTGAGGGAAGTGGAAAATATTTTGAGGAAATAATTCAGCAACATCCGCAAAAAATATTAATCAAACGTTTTCTATGTTTAAAAAGTTACTTTCAATTTTTAAAATTTTTTCACCAGTTATTATTTTTTAAGTCTTAAGTACTACTGCAAAAAGAAAGAGCAAGTCTTAAGCTACAACTTCTTCATCAAGTTTTTCTTTCTAAAAAAAATCACCCTAAATCAAATCCTTTTATATCTCTGAGGTGTCCGCGTGAATTGAGAATCGCATAGAACATCATTTTTAGTTTTATTTGAAGCAACTCTTAATCTTCCATTTTATTTTTTTATTTTTTATGCAATATTATATATTATTTTTAATTTTGACCTGAAGTGATCCATCCAGGTCGGGGGTCAACCAAATCTCAATTCGCAATCAACAATAAAAATGTGCACAAAATTTGGCCGGGAGAGTGGTACTTCTCGGACAAAAAGAAATAGCGCAAATTCGACACGGAACGAAACGAGCTTCAGGATTCTGAATCTAAAAGAAACGAGCTTTCCAACTGTGTGAATTTTATTGCGTGTCAATATAGCAATTTAGATTTCTGGGTGAAATTCTCGATTCAAGATAGTGAAATTTTGTAAAAAGAAAAACAACAATTCTGAAGCGTATCTTTAAACTTTAAATAGAACGCAAACGTTGGGAGCAGTGAGCGGCACAACTGCAGAAAGCTAGTTTTACGAGGACGATGCCGAAAATGCCCAGGTTTTTGCGGTTTGGTGACGCCTGACCTGAGAAAAACGTCGGAAAACACGGCAGGTCGTATTTTAATACCCAATCGCAAATGTGCTTTGTTTATAATTAACCTGAAAATCCCATTGTTGGTGAATAAGGTCTATTTGAATGCGTTTAAACCCAACAATTGAAATCAACATTGTCGAATTTCAAAACGCTTAATTTCGATTGTTGCTCACTATACTTAAATGCCATTGTTTAAAGAATTCATATCAGATTCAAGTCAGAGGCCGAAGGAGTAAGAACGTTTCTAGTGATCGCGATAATGTTCTCCTTCGACGCCGAGCGGCAGCGAAATTTGGAGAGATTGCAGAGACTGAAAGAGCACAAACGCAAGTACAGTGTCTCCAGCTACAAGAACAACCTGAAGGAAGCGCAGCAGCTGCGAAAAACCACCAAGGACGCTGAAACACCGACGCGGGCGGTCAAGAAGCAGTGCAATAAGGCCAGGGACGGACCCAAGGTTCAAGGACGAGATGAAAAGAAGAAGCAGAAGGTAGTAAGCAATGGATAAAAATTTTAATCAAGATATGAAGTTACAAATTTCAATGCGGGGTCCTTTTACGTGACAATTTTATTCAAAATTCGTGTAGGCGGTCCAGAATTTAAACAATTATGACCATCTGGACGTGAAAGTAGGCCATATATTTTAAAACGTTTTTAAAGGTCTATATATTTTTTGGTGTTCTAAACACAAGTAAAACGTATATAAAATATAAATCAAAACTACAATCAAAAATTTTCTGTCTCAACAAAAATATACTTGTTTTACAGTTTATATTTTTTTTAATACTCAAATGAATTAAAAAAATATTTTTTTGTTAAATTTTTTAAGTAAATTTATTACGTATTAAACAGGAGACCACAGATCATGAAGTTACAGTTGCCATTCCAATCAAGAGGGATGACGTCTCTGTCGCCTTGGATCACACTACCTTTGCCTTTACAACACAGGAACTCTTGGAGATAATTAAAACCCCGCTGCCCATGAGATCCAAGATGATTGCCAAAGAGGTACTCTTGCTTACAATTTATAAAATTTTAAGTTTCTGCGATCAGAAAAAATAAATAAAATTTGATTATTAATAAATTTGAGCTACTCATAAATAGTTACATGATATTATATTTATCATTTTTGTTTCTTTTTTTTTAATTTTTGCAAATTTACATTTTTTACTTTTAGGAGTCGACCAAGATTGCTGCTGCTAAAGAGGAGACACTGCCAGTATGTCACTCGGAAAATAACTTGGAAAATGCCCTCAAGTTCGTGTCCAACTCAAAGGAACAACCCCCTTCGAATCCTGTGGCCGCAAAAGTTCCACTGCCCTTGGCCCACGCGAAAGTCACCCAAGAGCCAGAAGAGGATGAGGTCGCTCCGAAAGTGGAGGCCAGAGCTGAGACGAAAACCAAACTGGACCTGCTGAAGGAGGGCATCACCCTCGTTGGCTCTGTGATGAAGAACTGGGCGATGGCGGCGCTGCTCGTCGGAACCGGCGTCCTCATTGCTTTTGTTGATCAGGAGCATGTGGACAACCTGTTGTACTCCCTGTCCACGATCGAGATCGTCGAGCACTTCTGAATACGCGAGCACATGAAGTATTTAAATTTAATATTGCCACTTAGCACTTCTCAAATTTTCCAGGTCGAATTTTGATTCTTTTCGCAAATTCAAATTTTCCAAAAACATTTCCTGGCATAATGAAAGTTTTCTTAATAGTTGAATTAATAGCTCTGTTTTAGGAGAACAAAAAAAAATAAGAAAATGCCTTATTAGAATATCCGAATAGCAATATTTTGAGAGTCATAAGTAAAAAAAAAAAAATTTTTGTAATTGACCCTTCTGAACACAATTCTGAGGTCGGTTTTTTTTTAAAAAAAATTTCTTGTCTCCTAGTTTTACTCTAATTATTGCTCAAAATTTGAAAATTTTTGGAGGGTTAGTTAAGTTGTTACACCATCTAAAAATTTATTTTACCATACTTGCTATTTTCTGGAATATTTCCCAATTCCATAAGGGGTCCGCGTTTTGATGATTATTAGCTATTCAGAAATTTGATAGCATATTTTTTATGGCTGCTTTTACGACTGGAAAGTGAGGTCAAAACAATTACGTTAAGAGAGTATTCAACCCGAAACAAAATTTTGAAATAATCCAAATGCAGCTTGGTTCTTGGACCTCTAAAAGTTCAAATCTTTTTCGCCGGCTTCCAGCTGTTTTTCGCAATAGCCAAATTTCCAAGCCCCATTTGTAAAATTCTAAACTCCTTGGATAAAGGCATTTTATGTATCATTCAATTTGGCACGTCAAGGAGAAGCTAGACTAAATTTTTAACAAATCTGTATCGTTTTTAAAATTTCCATAGCTTAATTTGGAATTGAAAAAAATTTACAATTCAAGATCTTTCCCTCCAAAAACTTCAACTTTTTATCTCCGCCTCTTGATGTCTTAACGCGAGGCCACATGAGTCCAAGTGGCCCCAGACTTGACTGAATGTTCTCTGTGTACTCGCGTTTGACAAGGGACACATTTTTTTTTTTTTTTTTTTTTGCGCATTTTGATAATAATTGCAAATTAACCATTTGCTCAATTCAATAACATTGTTCTTACGGCAGTCCTATCTTGAAATTATTGTATCTATTCAATACTAGAAATAAAAGGAAACATACTGGCGTAGGAAAAATCAAAATTGGTTCAGCGTGGCGCTGCATTCAGGCGATCACAGATTTGTAAAGTAGGCAACCGAAGACATTATTTGGATGAAATCTTGGATCGCCTGACTGCAGCCCCACGCTGAACCAATTTTGATTTTTCCAACACGCCAGTACTTTTATTTTGCATCTAGTATCACATAAACTAGGATTGAAAAGATAAATCATTTAGAGATAGGGCTGCTAAAGAAAAACATTATTGAATTTTGCAATTTTTGAATCGCGGAAAAATTTTAGGAAAAAAAATCCAAAAACGCAAGTCCAGAATCGTGTTCAAGAGAACAGATAACACAGAAGAACGTTTCAAAATTTTCAACTTTTAAAAATATAAAGCAATTTCTTTTTTCTGAGAAATAAATTTCAGGTACATTTTTTTATAGTTATGCTTTCAGAATCTTAAAATTAAAATAAATCCAAATTCGACCATCAGTTTGCTTGTGGTAAGCGTTGAAAGTTTGTGAAGAACTAAGTGGCCAGCACGTTGTACATATGTTAAAACTGACAATAATATTCTTATATATAGAATTTATTAATAAAAAGTTTTTCTTAAATATATCTCTTTAATGGATTTTATTGAATCTTAACCCTATTAAAAGAAAATTTAGATTTTAAATTCACTGTCAATCTAACAATAAGAAAAATAGTGAGAATTATTTAAATATTGAGCTGTTGTGTACGTGAAGCGTATCCCGACTGGAGGCATCTCAATAAAAAAGAATATTTCCCATGCACAAACCTTTTTAATATTCTTACGTGTTCATGCAGCAGTGGGACAATTGCGCAACTACATACGGACAATAAACTGAGTGCTTTATTTAACCCACTGGTGTTATAAACGTAAATAAAATCCCTAAAAACTGAACATTATAATCTTGTGGTTGGAGAGGAATAAAAATGAGCATTTCCAAGTTAATCTGTGGGGCATTAGGAGGATTTTGAAAATGGAATAACCTTACTTTGATTTTTACATAATTATGATTAAAAAGGTCCCTATGGGTGTCTACTCACAAATTTTCAGCCCCCTAAAATTTTGAGAGGTCAAAAATATGCAATAAGCAATAATTATTTTGAAGTTGTCATAACTTAAGAATGGATAAAGCTATAATGACGATCTCAGCTACAATTCTTGGCCAAACTTCTTTTTTAAGCAATTGAATATAAAAAATATATGTTTCTTAAATACAAGTCTGACTGAGGGAAGTGGAAAATATTTTGAGGAAATAATTCAGCAACATCCGCAAAAAAATATTAATCAAACGTTTTCTATGTTTAAAAAGTTACTTTCAATTTTTAAAATTTTTTCACCAGTTATTATTTTTTAAGTCTTAAGTACTACTGCAAAAAGAAAGAGCAAGTCTTAAGCTACAACTTCTTCATCAAGTTTTTCTTTCTAAAAAAAATCACCCTAAATCAAATCCTTTTATATCTCTGAGGTGTCCGCGTGAATTGAGAATCATAGAACGTCATTTTTAGTTTTATTTGAAGCAACTCTTAATCTTCCATTTTATTTTTTTATTTTTTATGCAATATTATATATTATTTTTAATTTTGACCTGAAGTGATCCATCCAGGTCGGGGGTCAACCAAATCTCAATTCGCAATCAACAATAAAAATGTGCACAAAATTTGGCCGGGAGAGTGGTACTTCTCGGACAAAAAGAAATAGCGCAAATTCGACACGGAACGAAACGAGCTTCAGGATTCTGAATCTAAAAGAAACGAGCTTTCCAACTGTGTGAATTTTATTGCGTGTCAATATAGCAATTTTGATTTCTGGGTGAAATTCTCGATTCAAGATAGTGAAATTTTGTAAAAAGAAAAACAACAATTCTGAAGCGTATCTTTAAACTTTAAATAGAACGCAAACGTTGGGAGCAGTGAGCGGCACAACTGCAGAAAGCTAGTTTTACGAGGACGATGCCGAAAATGCCCAGGTTTTTGCGGTTTGGTGACGCCTGACCTGAGAAAAACGTCGGAAAACACGGCAGGTCGTATTTTAATACCCAATCGCAAATGTGCTTTGTTTATAATTAACCTGAAAATCCCATTGTTGGTGAATAAGGTCTATTTGAATGCGTTTAAACCCAACAATTGAAATCAACATTGTCGAATTTCAAAACGCTTAATTTCGATTGTTGCTCACTATACTTAAATGCCATTGTTTAAAGAATTCATATCAGATTCAAGTCAGAGGCCGAAGGAGTAAGAACGTTTCTAGTGATCGCGATAATGTTCTCCTTCGACGCCGAGCGGCAGCGAAATTTGGAGAGATTTCAGAGACTGAAAGAGCACAAACGCAAGTACAGCTTCTCCAGCTACAAGAACAACCTGAAGGAAGCGCAGCAGCTGCGAAAAACCACCAAGGACGCTGAAACACCGACGCGGGCGGTCAAGAAGCAGAGCAATAAGGCCAGGGACGGACCCAAGGTTCAAGGACGAGATGAAAAGAAGAAGCAGAAGGTAGTAAGCAATGGATAAAAATTTTAATCAAGATATGAAGTTACAAATTTCAATGCGGGGTCCTTTTACGTGACAATTTTATTCAAAATTCGTGTAGGCGGTCCAGAATTTAAACAATTATGACCATCTGGACGTGAAAGTAGGCCATATATTTTAAAACGTTTTTAAAGGTCTATATATTTTTTGGTGTTCTAAACACAAGTAAAACGTATATAAAATATAAATCAAAACTACAATCAAAAATTTTCTGTCTCAACAAAAATATACTTTTTTACAGTTTATATTTTTTTTAATACTCAAATGAATTAAAAAAATATTTTTTTGTTAAATTTTTTAAGTAAATTTATTACGTATTAAACAGGAGACCACAGATCATGAAGTTACAGTTGCCATTCCAATCAAGAGGGATGACGTCTCTGTCGCCTTGGATCACACTACCTTTGCCTTTACAACACAGGAACTCTTGGAGATAATTAAAACCCCGCTGCCCATGAGATCCAAGATGATTGCCAAAGAGGTACTCTTGCTTACAATTTATAAAATTTTAAGTTTCTGCGATCAGAAAAAATAAATAAAATTTGATTATTAATAAATTTGAGCTACTCATAAATAGTTACATGATATTATATTTATCATTTTTGTTTCTTTTTTTTAATTTTTGCAAATTTACATTTTTTACTTTTAGGAGTCGACCAAGATTGCTGCTGCTAAAGAGGAGACACTGCCAGTATGTCACTCGGAAAATAACTTGGAAAATGCCCTCAAGTTCGTGTCCAACTCAAAGGAACAACCCCCTTCGAATCCTGTGGCCGCAAAAGTTCCACTGCCCTTGGCCCACGCGAAAGTCACCCAAGAGCCAGAAGAGGATGAGGTCGCTCCGAAAGTGGAGGCCAGAGCTGAGACGAAAACCAAACTGGACCTGCTGAAGGAGGGCATCACCCTCGTTGGCTCTGTGATGAAGAACTGGGCGATGGCGGCGCTGCTCGTCGGAACCGGCGTCCTCATTGCTTTTGTTGATCAGGAGCATGTGGACAACCTGTTGTACTCCCTGTCCACGATCGAGATCGTCGAGCACTTCTGAATACGCGAGCACATGAAGTATTTAAATTTAATATTGCCACTTAGCACTTCTCAAATTTTCCAGGTCGAATTTTGATTCTTTTCGCAAATTCAAATTTTCCAAAAACATTTCCTGGCATAATGAAAGTTTTCTTAATAGTTGAATTAATAGCTCTGTTTTAGGAGAACAAAAAAAAAATAAGAAAATGCCTTATTAGAATATCCGAATAGCAATATTTTGAGAGTCATAAGTAAAAAAAAAAAAAATTTTTGTAATTGACCCTTCTGAACACAATTCTGAGGTCGGTTTTTTTTTAATTTTCTTGTTTCATACTTTTACTCTAATTATTGCTCAATATTTGAAAATTTTTGGAGGGTTAGTCAGTTGTTTTACCATCTAAAAATTTATTTTTCCATTTTTGCTATATTCTGGAATACAGCCCAATTCCATAAGGGGTCCGCGTTTTAATGATTATTAGCTATCCAGAAATTTGATATATTTTTTATGGCTGCTTTTACGACTGGAAAGTGAGGTCAAAACAATTACGATAAGAGAGTATTCAACCCGAAACAAAATTTTGAAATAATCCAAATGCAGCTTGGTTCTTTTGGACCTCTAAAATTTCAAATCTTTTTCGCCGGCTTCCAGCTGTTTTTCGCAATAGCCAAATTTCCAAACCCCTTTTGTAAAATTCCAAACTCTTTGGATAAAGGCATTTTATGTATCATTCAATTTGGCACGTCAAGGAGAAGCTAGACTAAATTCTTAACAAATCTGAATCGTTTTTAAATTTTTCATAGCTAAATTGGAAATGTAAAAATTTACAATTCGAGATCTTTCCCTCCAAAAAGTTTCAACTTTTTATCTCCGCCTTTTTTGCGTATTTTGCTAATAATTGCAAATCCACCATTTGCTTAATCCAGAATCGTGTTCAAGACAACAGATAACACTGAAGAACGTTTCAAAATTTTCAACTTTTAAAAATATAAAGCAATTTACTTTTTTCTGAGAAATAAATTTCAGGCACATTTCTTGATAGTTATGCTTTCAGAATCTAAAAAATAAAAATAAATCCAAATTCGACCATCAGTTTGCTTGTGGTAAGCGTTGAAAGTTTGTGAAGAACTAAGTGGCCAGCACGTTGTACATATGTTAAAACTAACAATAATATTCTTATATATAGAATTTATTAATAAACAGTCTTTCTTTAATATATCTCTTTAATGGATTTTATTTAATCTTAACCCTATTCAAAGAAAATTTAGATTTTAAATTCACTGTCAATCTAACAATAAGAAAAATAGTGAGAATTATTTAAATATTGAGCTGTTGTGTACGTGAAGCGTATACCGACTGGAGGCATCTCAATAAAAAAGAATATTTCCCATGCACAAACCTTTTTAATATTCTTACGTGTTCATGCAGCAGTGGGACAATTGCGCAACTACATACGGACAATAAACTGAGTGCTTTATTTAACACACTGGTGTTATAAACGTAAATAAAGTCGTATCGCGAAATGCGAATTTCCCATTGCAGTCCATCGGGAGACGGAAAATTACTTTACAATGGCTGCGGTTAATGGATTCGAAATTGCAGCAAGAGTGGCGCGATCAATGGCGGCTCAAACACCTTGCATTCCGCACCCCCGAGGCCAACCCTCTCTCTTATTTATCGCTAGTGTAAAAGGGGGTGGCTCCGAGCCGTCCCAAAACCGGAATGTCTCCATTTTCGGCCAACAAAGGGGCTGCTGATAATTCGCTCCTAACGGAATTTGTGCCATTAGGGGTTGAAGTTTCACCCAGAAGATGATTTGAGTTTCATATTTTGTCAGAGTCCAAGTTAGAACTGCAATGATTGCGACGAGACGTCCTCTGTTTGGATTTTAAAAATGAGCAAATTTTTCCTCCTTTGAAGGAATTTTCTCGGAATCATCCATAAGGCGCCTTTTGAGCGTTTTTGCCGAGTGATTATGAATTGGCTCCTTTGCGGTCCACAGGGCATTCAAATCTGCGCGGAAAAAGCGCTTGTTCGCCCCGAGATAAATTTTGCGAGGGCACACACACAAAATACGTATAATGTAATCAAAGAGTGGAATGAAAGCCGCGTGCTCGGCGCATTTGCAGCAGCGCCGGGCCATTAATCAAAAAGTGTCTTATCTCTCGTTGAGCGCACAAAAGGAAATATTTTAAAGGCCTGCGATGTGTAGCAAAAGCGGCGGCTCTTTTATTTCCATTAATCATAATAATGAGATAAAAATCTGCGGCTCGTTGCCTGATGAAATGTCAGGCGAAGGCAAAAAGCGACAAGTGCAAAAAACCTGCGCGCTAATGAATGGCAGGCGGCGGCGTTTTGTTTCGTCGCCGGCGGCGATGCGTTTTCGATCCGCCGCCGCTTTCAAAGCCTATTTTCCTCGCACCCAATTAGAACGCAAACGAATCATTTTCCGATCGCAAGCAGGATGTGTAATAAGCGTTTAATTAGCAGCGGTCCAAAATTATTTTTCCGGCCCGCGCCAAATCATTTTGATATTTCCCATTTCGCAAATCAAACAGCCCGCGGTTGAATCAAATTATTGCTACGTGCCCTGAAAAAACACATTATGGCTCGTTTGGTTCTGCCAATTGTTTGCAAACCAGCAAAATTTCGGAATTTGCTTTGCTATTGCTTTGCTTTGATCTGCTGCGAGCTATGAAGCATCACACTAAAATAAATATTTGGGTCAGGATGGAGGGTTGTTAATATTATTTATATGTTTATGTATAGGAAAATGTAGAAAAAAGCTAATACAAAAATATATAATATAATTTTCGTCAGATTTGGTTTTCTTTATTTTGATCAGTTCAAGTGGAAGTTTAACTGGAACAAGTTATTTAACTTTAACTTGGTTGTGCAAGAAAACGTACTAATTTTAATATAAATATATTATTTATTTGTTTGAAGAAGTTGACACTCGAGGAGATTCCATTATTATTATTTCCATATTATTTATTTATTATATATATTTAATTTTATCAAGTATATTTTTAGTTTTAATATAAAATAAAATCAATTTTGTTTTCAAACTGGTCATTTTTCACTTTATATAGTTGTAAGTGTTTGATATTTATAAGTAAATTATAGGCAGACATAACTTTGCTGTGTTCAAATAAAGTGAATAAACTTTATCTGCAGCTGACAGGGAGACTTGATCTCTCCTCTCTTTGTCATAATTTAATTAGATTCAATATATTTTGCAACTATATTTTATTAATTTCCGTTGACTAATGTTCATTATGTGACTTAAACCAATTTGAGCAGGAGTTAGAAATAATTTCTTTGCTAGTCTCCATTTAAAACAAATCACAATTACATTGATGTAAAACAGTCAACAAATAGAAAAAAAATATAAATGATAAATAATATACTGACCACAATTTGCAAAGTCATAATATTTTAAATAAAGATCATTTAGAAACAAAAATTTATTTTTATTGTCCCTCACGAATTAAGACATATGTAATAGCTCAATAAAATAAAACCGAATTCAAAGCGATATTTGGGCAAAAAACTTTTATGGCCAATCCTTTATACCTCCTTTAAAGCCTCTAATAAATCACCCCGCGTGAATAGCATATTAAATTCCTCTCTGCAATTTCACGCTCGCACTCGGAAGCGGGTCTAAACTAATTCCGCGTCAGGATTGCATTTGGCGCGCATAAATCGCTCTCGTCAATAAAGGGGCAATAAAATTGCAAATCCGCGCGATTGATCACAGGAGCACGTCGTTGGTTGTTTGTTTGTTTGTTTGCTCATCCGATTTTATGACGTGCCAACAAATGATAAATAATAATAATAGGGCCGCACGTGCCGTTGGGGTGAAAGGCGCGGAAATAAAGGGGGCCTCAACACGCCAGTCTCAAGGCCTGATTTCGGGGCTCGTTCAATAATCCGATCAAGATGCTGGAGAATGTTTTTATGTCAAGTGACTTGACTGACTCGCAAATCATACGCACCCGGCGAGGCACGTCATAAATATTGATTTGCGGTTTCGCTCGGCAAGAGAGGAAAAAATGTGCGAAAACTCAAAACATTTTCCGAATGCGACGCACAAAGTTTTCAACGTGCGCTAAAAGGGAAACCTGGCAGATTCTGTCAAGAGAGAATATTCCTTTCATTTTACTCCAAAGTTGATAAATGAAGTAAAACCAAAAGCGTGAGGCGTGAGATTATAAGAGCCTGGGGGAAAGTTTTTATGTGATAAGGTAATTGGCCGTGAAAAACAAAGTAATGAAGTTTTTGTGTGATGATAAAATCAGCAGATATTTCTTCTGGGCGGTTTCCTAAAATGGAATGCCATAATTTATGCAATTTCAAGGCTAAAAATTTTGAATAACGAGTATTTTGTGTAAAATTAGTTAATCAAATTAACGTAAACTTTTTTAATTTGAGATTATTTCTAGTTTCTTTTTCTAAATTTGAGGATTGAGGATTAAAGAGACCACTTTTAGCATGAGAATTTTCAAAATTTGAAGTGTTTTGGAGTGCACACGACTTCTATTTCCCAAAAGTGTTGACGAAAACACGTCTTCAATTGGAAGTTCCGTAAAAATATGAGAAACGACGAGTGGGAAAATCACTTTGGAGCAAGTGCCCAGTCGGAGATCAAGTTTTGGCAATAATCAAGAATGTAGCTTGGCGGTTAGATTGGGCGTGAAATGTGATCTGGCTGCGCGCGTTGGCGCCCCCGCTCGACTCGGCCCTTTCCTTTGTTTTCGTCCGACGAGAGGAGGATGCGTTTGATCTCTGGATTAAATTCTCGCCGGCCCCCTTTGATCGCGCGCGTGATCGTGGTAATGGCCCAGGGACACATTATGAATATTGCCTGCCGCCGCCGAACCCAAACCGAAACTCTTTCTCATTCTTTTTATTGGCCTCACCCTTCCAGAATTGCCTTGGACGAAAATTGCTTTGTGACCCAATTTAACTTTTTGGCGTTGTTATAAAAAAATCGGAAGCAAATGTCGGGGTTGAGAATTTTTCAAAAAAAAATTTTTATATATAATTTGAGCAAACATTAGTAATATTTATGGCAGCCTATTTTAGTTTGACGATTACATTATAAAAAAATTAACTATTATTATTAGAATCACCCGTGACGCTTATTATCTCATAATAATAATTATTTTTACAACACAACATGTAGGATTTCCGAAATGGAAAGGTGAAAAAATAAGGAGAGACCTAACAACATTGCAAGTTCGATTAAAAAACCAGTCAGTTTTTGTCCAATTATTGTGCATTGGAAAAATCTTGTAATAGATAGATATTTTGATAATTCTTATCAGGCCGTGATCTTGCTTGCTTGCGTGTCGTGTGTAAAATTTTATAAGGTGCAAAGCAGATCAGCAGTTTGAAGTTTGAACTTGTCGATCCTTTTTGCCATGAAACTAAAATTATTTTCTTGCGCAATTGTCCTTGCCTGCATGTCAAGCGGTAAATCGACATATTGTTTTTTTTTCATTATTTATCAAGATAAACAACTTTAGTGCAAGCGATTAATGGAGACTTAGCAGCCCAAGGGGAATTTCCATATGTGGTAATTTTCAATCATCAAATCCATATATAATTTCTTACAAATTTGATTGATCAATCAAAAACAACCTTCAGGGGTCCGTGCGCCTGCCAAATTTTCCAGTGGGGTATGTTTTTTTTTAAATGATATTCTTAATTAAACTTTGACATAAGCAATGCGAATCGTAAAAATCATTGATTGGATTTTATCAAATCACACTTTTAATTATTTGAATTACATCGCACTTAAAATTATACACAACCATATAAAATTTGCAGAAATCTATTTATATTATTTTTTAATTAACAAAATGGATTTACAACAACACTAAATACCTATGCATAATTTTTACCGTTGCTCATTTCGTAGGACAAATAATTACTGCACAGCGATAGTTTTGAACAAGGATTGGGCTCTTGCACCAGATAACTGCGCAAGACTTTTGCAAGTGGAAAAATTAACAGCCTGAATCGACTAAGATGCATAATTTTTTTGCAGGGCAGCCGATGAAATTCATCTGGGCTCTGTGAAATTGCCTTATTATACACACATTGTCGCTACCAAAATAACTCACCCCGATTACAACTATCCTTTGTATAACGCCAATTTGCTTCAGGTGGGAAAAATTAAATGGAACTGGCGTTTTTAAAACGCATTCATATTTTCTATCAAAAGGTGACGACGCCATTTGATCTTTCTGATCCAGCAAGAGTTTCTCCAGCAATCTTGCCCGACGCCTCCTTCACAGTCCCTCTTGGTTCCCAAGGTTTTATTGCTGCCTACGGCGCCGACCCTGTACGTCAAATAATAATTTCGAATGAAGGATAATTGAAAATGTTTGGTATTTTTAAATTTTTTCAAGAATGATCAACAGGACGAAAACATGAGGAAGGTACAAGTGACGGTGGTGGACAACAGCGAGTGCGGTTATAGCGGCGAGAGTTTATTGCTTTGTGCCAAGGCTGCTGTTGGAGGAGCGTGCAGTGTAATTAAAAATACTTAATATATCAAATGCTTCGATAATTAAATAAAAACTATTGACTTGACAGTGGGATTTGGGCGCTCCTTTGACAGTAAACGGCATCGTCGTTGGCTTCTCAACTTCCGAAGGATGCCAAGGGACTCCGTTCTTATTGGTCGCGACTGCTCCGCTAGTTGACTGGATTAATTCAAATGTGAATTAAAAATCTTTATTGAATTTAAAAACAACAATTTTAATACGATTTTGATGAAAAGAAACCTTGCGATAAATAAATCAAACGTTTAATATACTTAATAATTAACGGCTCCAGTTCGGCGAGTAGGTTTAAGTTGGAAACACTTTTGCTTCCAAATTGAGCCTATGAGTTTTAGTAAGTTGTTTACTAGAGCTGGCTGCCAATTCTCTCCCAATGTGATTTTTCTAATTCTGTTTGACTTTTTGCGAGAGAATTAATGAATTGAATAGTTTTATACGTAATTATTATGGTGTTGTCGCGTTGAAGGAGTGTTTTGAAAGTACCGAGAAGGCTCTTTGATCTGCTAATCAGGCGTTTTGAGCGCCGAGGTGCGAAATGTGTGACTATTAATGCGTTTCGTCGACCTCTCTCTCCGTCGCTCTCCCGACGCGCATTAGCAACAATGAATATTCAAATTGCGCCCGAAGAGAAATTTCTGCTGCTCCCTTTCTCACTCGCTAGCTCTTATCTGCTGGTGTTATTTCAAGGGAATTTCAGCGCCAGCATCAAGGAAGGGAGGGCATTGCACGCTCAAATTCTCCCTCGACTTGCAGTTTAAATTGCGCGAGAGGTAATCGTGTGGAAGGAGAGCGAGCCAGAGAGTAATACAATGATATGCACATTACATTATGCCTGTGGAGAGAGCCACCGTTTTGTGTTTCGAAACGGGTGCAGCAGCTTATTTATCTTGGGGAAATTCGTCCGGACGCGTGTGTGACGTTGAAACCAGCACTTCTATTATAGATTGCCACCCTTTCCTGCTTATGCCCGCGGTGCAAATAAATGGGGATATGAGAGAGACTAACGGGAAAGCGAGGGAAAATCAATTTAACCGGATTTAACTGAAAATAATAATGTGCAGTTTTCCTAGATTTATATTTTAATGCCAGCGCTATATGTGTTGCCGTTTTTTCACATTTGTAATTTTGCTCTTTCATTTTTGACATGATTTGTGAAGAATAAACAACAAGCACATCTAAGTAGGGCTATAATTGATTTATAAAAAAATTTAATTAGCAAATTTATAAAATTTAAATTTAGAGCAAACGGAATTTTTGTGGTTAACTAAATATGCAAATGTACAGTTTTGCAAGAGGAATATTATTAATAAAAATTGAATGGCGCATGAATTTTAATGTAATAATTTAAAAATAGGACAAACATATTTTGGCTGAAACTGAAGAACTTAAATTTAAAGATAATATCAGCTTGGGAAACCACGCTAACTAGTGGTGTGATATACCTCCGTATTATGTGAGTTTCTTATCAGTGCTTCATTAAACAAAAGTTGCTTGTTGCCCCTGGGCTTTTTAACACTTGTTTTATCACATCTTGTGATATATACAAATTTTAATTTGTACTGTTTTTTCTAAAGATATTGGTACTATATCAAGTGCAATGAAAATATTTTTTTTGTCAAAAACTCAACATAATAAATAATTATATAATTGTATGATTTTTTATGAAATAACAAATTTATGTAATTGATAGGAAATGTATGATCTTAAATTTTTAAATATACCCTGAAGAGATTGCGAATGCATTTGCATTTTTATTCTTGTTGATTATTTTATAATTTTAGAAAATAATTAGAACACGTGTGTAATTGCCCAAGATTATTCGACGACAACCCAACAATCTTTATTTCTATTGAAAAAAATTGATTTAAATAAAGTATAATCCTTTGATATTTCTTTATTTGATTTTTATTTATAATATTATTACTTTTTCAATGCATAGAAATGTGGTTAATTCACGTTTGAATTAATCCAGTCAACTAGTGGAGCAGTCGCGACCAATAAGAACGGAGTCCCTTGGCATCCTTCGGAAGTCGAGAAGCCAACGACGACGCCGTTTACTGTCAAAGGAGCGCCCAAATCCCACTGTCAAGTCAATATTTTTTATTTAATTATCAAAGTATTTGATATATTAAGTATTTTTAATTACACTGCACGCTCCTCCAACAGCAGCCTTGGCACAAAGCAATAAACTCTCGCCGCTGTAACCGCACTCGCTGTTGTCCACCACTGTCACCTGTACCTTACGCATATGATTGTCCTGTTGATCATTCTTCAAACAAGAAATTCAACCATTTAAAATATATTTGAAAATGAGTAAATGACATACTGGGTCGGCGCCGTAGGCAGCTATATAACCTTGAGTGCCCACAGGGACTGTGGAAGTGGCTTCGGGCAAGATTGCTGGAGCAACTTTTACGGGGTCAGAAAGATCAAAAGGCGCAGTCATCTTTGGATGGAAAAATAATGCCATTTTAAAAATATCAGTTCAATTAAATTTGTCCCACTTGAAGCAAAATGGCGTTGTACAGAGGATAGTTGTAGTCAGGGTGAGCTATTCTTGTCGCGACATAGTGAGTATAATAAGGCAAGATTACAGAGCCAAGCTGAATTTGATCAGTTGTCCTGCAAAACATTCTTGCTTCACAATCGATACATCCAGACAATTGTTGTTTTTATACTTGCCCTGAGTATCTTGCGCAGTTTTCCGGTGCAAGAGCCCAATTATTATTCAAAACTATCGCTGTGCAGTAATTATTTGTTCTATGGAATTAGCAAAAGTTTCAATTTTATACTAATATGGTTGTATGATAAATTTATCGTACAGTGAAAAATTGAGTTATTTTAATTTACATTTCTTTATGGTTATGTTCTTTTGAATGCGATGCTATTCAGCATAGGATAATAATTAAATAAAAAAGATTAAAACACAATTGTTTTCACCATATATTGCAATCGGACATACCCTGTTGGAAATTTTGGCCAGCGAACAGATCCCTGAAAGATTTTTTTAATAATTTTAATTTGCACTTTCCAATTTAATAAGAGAAGCTGTCAATCAAAATTACCACGTATGGATATTCTCCTTGGCCTGCTAAGTCTCCATTAATAGCTAGCACTGAAATAGTTTATCTCAAAAATAAAAATTAATTAAATAAATTTAATTCCACAATTTACCGCTTGACACGCAGATGAGGACAAAGGCGCAAGAAAATAATATTTGCTTCATCGTAAAAATGATAGAGTGTAGTTCAAACTTCTGATCAGCCCTGCACCTTGAGACTAAATTTTATACAAAAAACCCAGCTGTATGCAATTATCTTGGCCAGATAAGAATTATCAAAATCTTGGTCCAACATAATAAGAAAGAACTTCGAATTAGATAAAAATTTACTGGAATTTTCCAGTAGACCTGATTCTGATTTTTAATTTTGCAAGTTGTTAGTCACTTGTGCTGACACTATTTCTTTAATATTTCATAATTATATTGAAGAAGGCCCTTTTATAATTATGCATGTAGTAAAATTTGGGAATTTTAAATGATTAATAAAGAGATTTAATTTAAATTAGGAACATTTTTAAGTTTTGTGTTGTGTCACTGTTCAAGTTGCGTAACATTTCTCATTGATATAGACTTGTTTGCAGCATATAAATATTTAAAACAGAGCAATCACGAGTGCTTTTGCATAATTGAGCCAATATTGCGCGAGCGAACTTGCTCTGGCCAAGCGGTAAATATCAAAACATAACGAATGGGCCTCTGCTTTTTTTTGTGCGGCTACGTCATGCACAGCAGGTGTATCATTGACGTGACAGCGCTTGATGAGTCATTAATATTTATGACTGGCAATCAACTTTTGATTCGCCTACATACGTCAAACATCAACAGAAATCGCGTAATTCAAATCCACTGCAAATTTGTTTAAACGCGAGCAGCGTTTTTGCAACCCAGTCGTGTATTTCCCAGGGGTAGCCAAAAAGCAAAAGCTTCACGGCGATGTTTGGTTTAAAGAAATCAACACGCATTTTCACTGATTCGCAAAAATCAGGACGCTTGATTTGTTACATTGAAGCAAAAACAAAAATGTTCAAGCCTAGGAAAAAATTAAAAGACTGAAAACAAATAAACAAAAATGGACGAATAAACAAAACAATAATAAAAAAAAATAGTGATATAAATAAATTTTTAATGAATATATATTTCAATTTTTTTTACCGATAAAAGTGAGCTTGCTGTTGGAAATTGTGCAAAGTTATCGTGAAAATCTTTATTTCCTCCGTGCCAGAATTAAAAAAGGGAAAAGTATAAAAAAGTGGCGACTCGTTTTTATTGCGAAAGCAGGATAAATTCGTGCATTATAAATATTCATCTGCAGCGCGGCAGGAGGAGCAGCCCCAGAGGATAATTTCGCTCCAGCTCTTTTCTCGCCCGCTCGCTCGCGCTCCAGAGAGCACTGTGTCGCAAAATAATTAGGAGAGGACGCCATTATGCAAATTCCGAGGACGCACACTGCACTGCACTCTCTCAAAATCTGCTCTAGCCGCGCCAAGAGGGATTTTTTTCCTAATGTGCTGAATTTGTCACTTCACTTCCCCCGTCTTTTGAATCAGTCCAAAGGCTCTTTCAGCTAAATTAATGAATAGCATGTCTGGAATTTTTTGCACAATCCATCATTGCTTTTTTAAATCAGGGAGAGTGCCGAGTGACCCGAAGGCAAATATCATTTTTCCATTTGACCAAATTGTTTTAAACTAGAAGTGCAATTTGCAGCAGATTAAAATAAGTTGTTTTTTTATTTAAGGTAAATTTTGTTATATTTCCATGAAATATTAAAAACAAAAGGAAGATTCGTTAATAAAAATTATATTTAAAAATTGTCATTATGTAATAATTTTGAGCAACACAGTTAAGTGCTGACTTATGCACTGATTTAATTGTTATTCAGCGCGAGCAGCGAAAAGCAGCCGCGTGGGCAAAACTAACGTGGGCGAATTCCTTTCTTCTTGTCTGCTTTTTATCTGCGTAGGAATCCGCCTCGTCGACTCTCTGGCCTCACTCGGCGAGTCGATTACTATAATTTGCCAACTGTCTTATAAGCGGGGGTATAGCTCAGTGGTAGAGCATTCGACTGCAGATCGAGAGGTCCCCGGTTCAAACCCGGGTGCCCCCTCAATTATTTTTGCAACTTAGTTAAAGGCATAACTTGATAGCTCATAATTAACATTCTTTGGAAAAAAAATGTGCTTTAAACTTTTAATCAAATATAAAGTAATAGTTGCACTGAACTTAAACAATGCAATACAAAATTGTTAATTTTTATTTAAATTAAGTCTGGTATAATTCACATTACAGTTTTTGTCAATTTCTTTTGAGAATAATTATTATTGATATATACATAATAATTTCTTTTGTAAAAAAATTGTCTGTTCTTGTTAATAAACAACCTTTTTTTAGCAGTTTTCCCCCATTTCATTTTTGCACAAACTCCAATTTATAAATAAGCCCTGTCTTTTAATAGGGATGGTTGGCAATTAAAAAAGGGTCGGAATTTAAATGCGCATGTTTGCTCGCGGCAAACAAGAAGGAAGGTACTGGAGGGCCAGTTAGTCGGCTGCTAAGTGCTTTTTCGAGAGCACACGCCTCTTCACCGCCGCCACATGAATAAGAAAGTGCCCTTTTCCGACCAACACACATGCAACTCGAAGCAAATATTCGCTCGGCTTAAGCACTTAATTTGATTAAAAGCCGCTCACCACCCCACAAACACCCCTAGTTCCTCTGCAATTTCATCCAACTTTCCACTCTTGTGGCAAAAGCGGACTGATTATTCCCTGCCATGAAAGCTGCTGATCGAATAAAAACGATTTGGTTAAGGAGAAGAATAAAAAAATGTAATTTTTTTAATTTTGAAACAAAAAAATGTGATTAATTAATGACTTAAATTTATAGAAATAGTTTTTTATTCATGCAAAAATGTGGCCTCGGTTAATTAAGAAATTTAGATTTTTTTTCGCAACACAGAAGACTACAGAACTGCACAGAATCTGATGATTCTAACAAAATTATTATTTTCTTCAGATAGATATGCGTGTTTTTTTCTGTTCTAATTAGTGTAGAGAAGTGTTTGTGTTTTAAAGAGTGAAGCAGGTTCAGGGTTTAATTTTTAAGACCTGGTTTTACTGAAACTGTTCAAGAAAAACTTGGCTTTATGGCATACATGCCAAAATTTTGACTATATTAAATAATAAATTTATTTCAAAATGACACAAAAAATCAAGAACTTCATCAAATTTTTGTGTCATTCAAAATTAATTTCTTAATAAAAATAAAAATTTAGGCATGTATGGGCATGTAATTCTTTAAAGCCGAGTTTTTCTCGCACTGTTTCATTGAAACCATATAAAAACCTCTTATAAATCATTATTTCAAATTATTTACATAAATTCAAACATTCTTTTATTTAAATAAAAGAATATGACCAAATATATTGAATTTGTTTATGAACAAATTAAACAATCTGATGAAGAGATTGATCCATGAAACGATTAATTTAAATAATTGAAATAATTAATTTATAGCTATTGCCTTACAAGGCGTCACCACAAGGTTAATTATTTTCATAGCATTTTTTCTACACCGACTCCACCGAATTGAAAACACGATTAATAATTATGGAGTCATTAGATTAAAATTTATGATAACATTCGCAAGAGGAAAAAACCGTAATTCCAGGCGAAAATTTTTGGGAAATCCTGCTCGACGGAGCACGTGTGTACTTTGTCAGTTTTTCTCATGAATATGAAAATCCACATACACGAAGCAGACGCCCGCGTGTGTGTATAATAAGAGAAATGAAATTTGCAGATATTTTTTGCTGCACGCACAGAGAGGGGCACGTTTTGTATTCACCCCGTAGAAAACAGAGGGCGCCGTCGGAAAATTAGCAAAAAGCGCGTCTCTCTGTTTTTTGTATGTCCTGTGAATACAACACACGCTTTGCGATTCTCAGCCAAAGGCCACAGATTGCTGGTGTAAATTCGGCCGCGAGCAAATCCCCAGCCATCAATTTAATCGTGATCGCCGCTTCGCCCGTCGGCTGACCCCCGGCAAGGGTCGATTTTTTTATTTTGCCACCGGTAGCGATTTTTATCTGCATGTGTGTGCAAGGCCAGAGCAAGAAGAGTGTCTATCGGACCATCCATCTGCGCCCTCGGGTGCTCTTTTCGCAGCGCGCGCCAGCAAAACCGATTTTTTGATTTCGCCACGGCGCACCCCAATGTTGCTTCACGATTTATGACTGACAATAAGTTTCTACGACCGAGAGCAAATGCATTTTTCCCTCGCCCATCTCGGCACAATATTTTTCACATTGGGGATCATCCCATAACACGCGCGTCTAACTGAAACTTGACATATTCTTTACTTACCCAAATAAAATTGACAATTCCAAAATTTTATCTTATCAAATGATATTTAAATTTTTTAGATTTCTTAGGAAAATGTAATAAATAATAAAAAATTTAATAAAAAATTCCAGGAGAAGAACAATTTCTTTAAATTTTGTATATTTTTTTCTAAAAGAGATCTGTAAACGAGTATAAATTTCCAATTTTCAACATTTATTGGAAATCTTCTTTTTTTTTAAAGAGATATATTTTATTCGTGGTAAAAGAATTTCACGATCGAGAGTTGATTCATGGTGATTTGAGTTTAAAATCGGCTTTTCCGCGATGGGTTTTGATTTTGAGAGTTTAATTTTTTATTTTTTAATAAATAGGACAAATATCTTCTTTTTTTTCTTAAACAATTAACAAATTACAAAAACAAAATCCATATAGGAAAAGCCAATTTTAAATTCAAATCACCAAGCAGATTAAAAGTTAAAAAATTTTCACTTGAACTTTAAAACAACACCACCTTTTGGAATCAGTTTTCCTTTTATTGTTCCATTTTTCATTTTATATTTTTTATACAAACTGGGGTTGACAATTTTCAATTTTTTATAAGAATAGATGTGCAAATATTTATATTTTTTTCCTCAATTTTGTGCGACTTGACTGATCTTTGGAATTTCTGAAACGCTGCAAACTTGAGAAGCAGAACCTTTTGGGAAATCAAAATTCCTGATGTGTTTATCTTTTTGAGTGCAAAGTGTCACTTCGCCTTTGGCCACGGCCCGCTCACTTTTGCTCCCCTAAACAGCTCAAGAATATATGAACGGAAGGGACGTTTTCAAGAGAGATGATATTTCTGCGTGTGTGTGTGTGTGTCGGGGAGATTTGGTGAGATTACCGCTCGCCACGGTGGCACCAGTCA